CCCAGTGGATAAAGCGTTCGCTCGTCACGCCGAAGACCCGGGTTCGATTCCTCACATGGGTAAACTGCGTGCAGCCCATTTCTGGTGTCCCCAGCCGCGATATTGCTGGAATATTGCTAAAAAGCGGCGTAAAACTATACTCACTCACTCACTCATGTTGTTCCTGAACATGGTGAATTGTTTTCCAAAACGCAACATGCCGTCATCTTCCCTCTGTCACGCGAGGCGATCCGTTCCTTCAGGTTGTTGTCGGAGATAAGACGGACCCATCTGTGCCGTTGAGTCATGTGATCGGATGTCGCGACTATAGGCTCTGTCTCAGCAAAGGTCACGCACTGACCTTCGGATATTACTGAACAAATGGCGATATTACCAATATCTCAATATTACCAGTGTATCAACGCGGTCTGATATTAACTCAGTGAATGAGTGAGAGAGTGAGGGAGTGAGTTACCAGTGTATCAACGCGGTCTGATAATAACTAAGTGGGTGAGTGAGTGAGTGAGTGAGTGAGTGAGTGAGTGAGGTGCCTGCCAAACCATTACCATGTACTTTATACCCACGAACCCCGGTTTGGTACTTACAAACCCAGATACATGATTGCACCTGCAATGTGTTCCAGTTAAGGTGAAGTGAGGTTAAACGGAGTTCGAGATAATGCACATATGAGCGTGTCCAGACAGTCTGTCTCCTGACCCTGGAGAATACACTTAAAAAGTCTTGGACTTCGCTCATCAATCCAGGCACAGACTATCTGGTATAAAGTCTACTCCAGTGTACTAAACCGTTAGAGCTCTGTTTGGTGGTTGCTGTGCCAGGGATGAAATCTTTCACTCGTCACATCTGAGACATTGGTTCACACAAAGATGTTTGTTTGTTGTTTAACGCCGCACTCAGCAGTATTCCAGCTATATGGCGGCGGTCTGTAAATAATCGAGTCTGGGCCAGACAATCCAGTGATCAACATTATGAGCATCGACCTACGTAATTGGGCTACGATGACATGTGTCAATCGAGTCAGCGAGCCCGACCACCCGAGCCCGTTAGTCGCCTCGTAAGACAAGCATGGGCTACAGAAGACTCATTCTAACCAGGATGATATAGCTGGAAAATTGCTGAATGTGGCGTTAAACAACCAACCAACCAACCAGACTAACAATAGATACGTTAATATATACGTTAATATAGTTCTATATATGCAGAGGGACAGACGAAGAGACCGGGACTTCTTTCTGGACTTGGTTGCAATCACACTCCGATCCGGCACAGCGATTACTTAACATAACATCACTGCCACAGGCTAATTTGCATATCACGTGACTGGACTTTTCTCTTGTTTGTAATCAAACGCGCATATTCATAACAAGACTGGACTCACAAAAGCTTTTCGGTGCTCTCTTCATAATTTTTTACATTGTTACATATATATTCTTCCACAACTGCGACAGTTAGGTCTATGACAGTACATATTTAGATATCAAACTGGCTGCATCGTTTGCTCTCCATCAGCTTCGATGACAGCACGTGGAGCCGTACAACCTATGTAAACAAAGGATCGCTACGCAAATCGAAATAGTGTTACATGTTTTTGGATATTTTCTCCGTGAAACTAAACCATTCTATTAAAGATGTTTAGTTAGATGTGTAGACTTGTCAAAAATAAAAGAGTAAAAGAAATTTGTACATTATATTGAATTGACATTGCAAGATGTGACGAATCGTCACATTTTTCTGGCCTGTGGCAGAGGTACTATGCTGGCTTGCCGCATGGAACTCTGGGTAGGAGAGTGAGGTACTATGCTTGCTTGCCGCATGGAACTCTGGGTAGGAGAGTGGGTTGCAATGTATGAGTTATGGAAACACCTCGAGGATAACTGATATTCAAAGCAGAAGCGTTGAAAATATTTTCAGATTAGGACCAAATATAACGTTGTCTTGTTCGGTGCCGAACTATCCAAGAGCGCAGCTATCCAAGAGCGATCCAATGTCCTGCGGACCTAACTGATATAAACTTGATCTATCAGACAGACATTAATACATTAATTAACCTTTGTTCCCGTCGGCATTTCCCTTCTCCAAACTAAAGATTATAACAGTCTAAACTGTTGAATATGTGAAGAGATCAGAAGAGATTAATAAATCAATTACCCAATTAATTTATGGCCTCCATAGCTGAACTCTCCTTCCCATTTCCATTAAATATATCGCATGGAATAAACAGTTATGTTGTCCATAGTGAACAGTTAAAAACTGAATATGAAGAATGATATTGTGTATATTTTGTTGTAGTTTTAACTCTGCAACATTCCAGCTATATGGCGACGGTCTGTAAGTCTGGACCAGACAATCCAGTGACCAACGGCATGAGCATCGATCTATGCAGTTAGGATACGATGACATGTGTCAACCAGGTAAGCGAGCCTGAACCCTCGATCGCCTCTTAATAATAATAATATAATAATAAGTCATCTTCTATAGCGCACAGTGTCCAAACACCAAATGTTTGCCCGCGGCGCTTAATCGGAATTCTTACGACATTCCTGTCTGTACCCTTCTTTGTTTATTGTTTACCTCCGTATTCGGCAATTTTCCTGCTTCATATTGGAGGTCTGTTAAAAAAGAGTGTGGACTAGACGATCCAATGATTGAAATCATCAGCATCTATTCATTTGGGTTGCGATGACATCCACCAGGACAATCAGTCTGACGACCCCATCTCGTTAGTGTCCAAACCATATGGTTGTGAAGATAATTTTAGTCAGGATCTCCACAGTTTCCAGGGTTTTCACCTCCAAAGCCAAGGTCGTGGGTTTCACCTAAAAGATCAGTCCTAGCTTTCTGCCCACATCAAACCGAGACTCCGTCACTTGAATACCGCTATAAACAACGTTAAACCGAATTCAAGCACTGACTCTCTCTCACTCACTCTTTCACAAGGAGGGTGGTGGGTAGCCTAGTGGTTAAAGTTTCCGCTCGTCACGCTGAAGACCGGGTTCGATTCCCTAAATGGGTACAATGTGTGAAGCCAATTTTTGGTGTCCCCCATATTGCTGGAATATTGCTAAAAGGGGCGTAAAACTAAACTCACTCACTTTCACAAGTAATATTTACAGTTAGGCTCAAGTGAGTGAGTGATTAAGTTTAGTTTTACGCCACACTCAGCAATATTTCAGCTATATGGTGGCGGTCTCTAAATAACCTAGACTGGACCAGACACTCCAGGGATCAACAACATGAACATCGATCTGTGCAATTGGGATACGACAACATGTGTCAACCCAGTCAGCGAGCCTGACCACCCGATCAGTTACTGAAGATCAATTCTAACCCGGACCTTTACGGGTCTAGGCTCAAGTAGTGGACACATACACACACACATATATCCATAGTTTGACATACCGGGTATGCTTGTATCTTCTAGAATATGTTTAGATACAGGGCGTCAGGTTTATAAACAAAAAGGTTTTCGGATAGATTTATCGACTAGGGGACATTTACTGAGAAACTGTCATTATTATCTCAATCAACAACTGACGAATGTGGAGCACTTGAATTACACAAGCACTTGTGTATGGCCTCGTGACTCACGTGAAATGACGCACGAGACAGATCTATGGAACACATGGGCTCTGTGTGAAAGTAGGTTAGTGCGTGGCATCATGTTTATTCACAGGAGGTACCATATCACCACAGCTTGTTTCTTTGGGTTGGTTTGTAAATAGGTAATGGTAGGTCTGTCTCCAGATAAACTAAAACAATGTGAAGAAATCTGTAGTAGTGCAAGTCCAGGCCTGACCGAGTAACTATAAGAAAATGAGTGAGTGTGGTTTTACCCTGCTTTTTTATATTCCAGCAATATCATGGTGGGGGGACACAAACAACCGGCTTCACACATTGTACCCATGTTGAGAATCGAACCCTGGCCTTCAGCGTGATGAGCGAACGCGTTAACCACTAGGCTACCCCACCGCCCTACAATAAAATGAAGTAATGATGATAACTTTACTATTGATACACCATCGAACCATGGATGGCTCAGTAGACTTAAGCGTTGTATCGACTTCTGTACCTAAGTTGCGCCACAATCCACAGTTCTAGAGTTCTAATTCCTCATAGAATCATGTGATACCAACTTCAGTTCATGTGAGTTTCGCTTAAGTTATAAACATCCACGGGCCTGCATTGTTTCCAGTCACCATTAAACCAGAAAGTCTGACATCTTAGCACTGTGATAAGAAGTGAAATTATGAGCAACTGAATAATATACTGAACAAAACTAGAAACGCACCACCCATATAATACGAAATATCCCTGTCAGACTGAAATGTACCCATGATATCTGAGCATCGTGGGTGCATTTTAGTGTGGTGCGTTTCTAATGTTGTTCAATATCTATACACATGGAAAGAAGTATCAATGCCTACGAACTGTAACTCTCATAAAGCCATTTATATTCATATCATATATGCAAATGGAAAATATAAATACATAAAAATACATTCATATTATAATTATGTTTGTTTCCATGATCATTTGGACTTTTCGTTGATTTTAGATATGCACCTGCTACGATCAATGGCGAGCATCTGGCAACTGGCAGTCTGATGACCGATACCAAATTAGGGACGGTTGGTTGGTTTGTTGTTTAATGCTTCACTCAGCAACATTCCAGCTAAATAGGTGGCGGCCTGTAAATAATTAAATCTGGACCAGACAATCCAGCGATAACAGCATGAACATCGATCTACTCAATGCAGATAAGATGACATATTTCATCCAAGTCAGCAAGCCTGATCATCACACCTCCTAGGACAAGCATGGGTTGCTGAAGACCAATTCTAACCCTGATCTTGACAGGTGCCAAATTTGGTACAATAAGCAAGTACTTGATAAGTTGCGGGTATACATCAAACTGCCAGAATCTGCCCTGAAAGTTCTTTCATGGCTTGAAAGAAAATCAATTTGTCACTGGCAAACAAAATTAACACAGAAACAGGTACTGTAATATAATAAATATCATTTATTCTCTTTAGCCTTTCATATAAATCATAATTTGGCAAATATCAAAGAATAGAACACTCAAATTTTCACTCAGACTTTCTCGATATCCTGTGTTGAAGAGACAAGTAACATGAACACAGTGTACACCTATGGTGACCTACAACTGATACAGGTCTTTGCAGTGTCAACATAAGCTACCTACACCCACATTCCTTGACCATTCTGTACAAACACACCAAAAGAACCTACCCATGCTGACACTTTGCTATCAACTGGCTAGTTCAGTCTTATTCACCAGTCAATAAAACAGACTCTTGCATTCCTTGATAAGGACACACAGGTGAGACCAGTACCATCAGCATTCAAGTAATCCTTATCATTAAGTGCTTTGTAGCAAGAAAATATCTCACTGCTTCTGAGATAAAATGAGTTTCAGGGTGTGCTTGAATTTAGGAGATTGAACCTTTTGCTTTGTTGTATCTCTGCCTGTGTGACATCAGCTAACATTTAATTACCTAAATACATTCTCTCCATATGGTCCAGCTGATTCAGGAGTTACTGGTCACTTTTCAGCCCAAGCTATTCCATTAGAATACCTCCATTAACAATAACTATACTTCATCTTCACATGTCAAGTACACTTGAATGACTTGGTCAAGGAATTGGGCTAACTAACAACTGACATGTTTCTATATACCACAGTAAGAATTTATTTCCATGATGAACACTCTAACAAACTGAACTAAACCACAGTGGGACCTTGTTAATATGGACACTGCTGTTGTAGGAACCGTCAAATAATTTGAAGTAAATATGTCTCATACTTGATTTGGGTCTAATTCAAAACTTTCCATTAACGATGCTCCACTGTGCTTCAGCCAAGATGATAGCATAACGTATATAGACACTTCACTTAATCTGCTGATTCAGATAATATATATGTACAGAAACAAATAAAGGAACACAGGAACATTCAAGTGTTCATTTAATATTTTCCAGTTTTCATCACCAGCTTTGAATAGCGCTGTGGTGATGAAAACTGGAAAATAATAAAGGAACGATTGAATTTTCCTGTGTTCCTTTATTTGTTTCTCTACGTATATGTAGAGAAACAGTTGGCCATAGGATGCTCAAGGAAGAAGTAACTGTAATGAGGTTACGTTCCCTTGCCCTTGAGTTTCAAATTGTATATACAGAGACACTCGAGTCATTGGGAAGGATCAATGTGAATACTTGTTCTTTTTGCCCATATGCAAAACATCATTTTGAGTCAGCATATGTGAAATCATTTGTTTAAAAATCAAAAGCATAATTTCAAAATGATTGCTACTTAATAGTTGCATCATTTCTGTGTAGTGTGAGGTGGAAGTTAAGGAGCTGCAACAGTTTGGAATAAGTCATGGCCAATGATACTTTAGGTACTTGTATACATAAATCTCCAAATTCTGAAGAAGTGCTAAGTTTCAATTATTGAGGTATGTCCTTTAAATCCAGCAAAACAGTCTAGCCTTTAACACTATGATCTTAGTTAAACAAAATCCATGGCATTATTCAAACATGTGGACAGCGACTTTCAGATACATAGTTCCAATAAGACTTCAGACAGCCACTCTTTTGTAAGACAAATGTTTCAGGATAGTAAAGAAGCCATCACTTCACAGCAAGGCTATGTTAAGTACAGACTGTATCTGTTCCCTTGTCAGTTACTTATGTATATAAACCATGCTAAGATTCTGCTGTGTATAACTATAACACTTTCACAAAGAATAGCAAATGAAACATTTGAAGTACAGTGGATTTGTAGGACCGTCTTCAGCATGTTTTACAAATACATGAATGACCAATACACAATCAGTTTGGGAAAATAAGCATGAAAATCCTCAAAGGGTCCCTTCAGATTCAGAAGTCCCTTAAATTATATTTTCCAGAGCAGCCAATCTCAAGACTCCTGGGTCTCCCTTAATTTCTAACAATGACGTCATACAATCAATTAACATAAATCAAATAAAGAGAAACATAACCCCTCAGTCATGAAATCTAATTTAAACACAAAATTTAGATTAAATACAGCTCACGCCATCTTTTACATATTGCCATCATAACCTGGCTCTGTTCAATAAAGCAGGTCTCGTAATTTTGTGCTTCACAAAGAGTTAGTGACTGCTTTAGCCCTGATACAGCTTTGTCAAAAGGGAGTCTGATGTCAAGAAATATACACTTCTTGGCATTGCCAGCACATCTCAGTGGGAGGAGATCCAAGGCTTCATCATAACCAATGAGCATTGTCTTGTTGCCATCACTAAGCAGATGCAGCAAGTCTTTGGTTTAACATAAGAATAATAAGAAAAGATACAGTCTCAGATCAATTAGTGATTGTAGTGATGACTATGGCATATTGCAAAGATAAGGAGACATAACATCAACATAATCATATACGGACAGCATACACATTTCTCTTCACCGAATTAGGGTTACATCAATGGATAATATGCCTGTTTGTAAACAAGTATTCAAGATGAAAGCTTGATGATTAAAGTGAATGTTTACAAACACTCAACATGCTTTTAATGATATTGGTTTACTAATATATTCAGGCTTTTTTGAGATGCAACACTTCATTTGCTTTAGTAAATGCAGTTCAATATACTTTGCTTATCATTCAGCATATGTTATGAAAGAAATTTTGCAAATTGTGGTAATGCAAAATCATATCCCTTTCATACAGATCTTCTGATCAGACAGCGAAACTAACAATTTCAGAGAAGCATAAAGAGGAACAAATGAGACTTACATTCATCTGAGTGGCACTAATGGAGGTTTCTTTACATACAAAAACGTACATAAATACATTTCTAGCATGATGTAGTTCCCCACTATTTGTTGAACCAGCACAAAACAGGTCAGGGGTGTGGAAATTGGAAACGCTTCACTTTGGCAAGAAATCAAACTATAATTTTCATTGATGGTTTATTCACTTAGAACTGTCTGTCTGTCCTCAATGTAGTTACTTCTTTTCTTTAACTGTACTTTCTTTCAGATCTGAAGCATCAAACTAAAACAACCATTGCGGACTATGGACAGCTAATTTGACAGGAGTTAATTGATGTAAGAAAATCAAAGAGTTCATAATATTAAGACAAGACACCAATGATAGACTCCACATATTGTACTCTTTTGGGAATCGACTCACAATTCAAATATTAATTTTCAAGACAATTTCGTTATACTCCAGGTAAATTTAATGCAAAATTCTGCTAATCCAGCAAAGTGACATAGTTGACAGGAAGCAGGACAGGGCATTGTAGCCTTTGCATACATGTTGATAAACAGTGAGTGAGTTTAGTTTATGCCACTTTTAGCAATATTCCAGCAATATCACGGCAGGGGACACAGGAAATGGGCTTCACACATTGTACCAATGTGGGGAATCAAACCCGGGTCTTTGGCTTGACAAGCAAATGCTTTAGCCACTAGGCTACCCCACCGCCCCTGTGGATAAAGAAATAAAACAGGCAGCCAGTTGTTTCTATTACATGTCTTTATAAACCAACCCATGATTTTCAAAAAGCTACACCAGACTGCTATTGCTTGCTGAAAGAGCAGACACTCCACACCCCTTGATTTAAGATGCTCTGATGATGACAGCCACTCAGGCAGGTTGCAGTTGAAGCATTTATGCATGATGAACATCATTATAATATTGTCCAGTAGAGCTCATATGCAAGATGGGTGTACCATTGTCCATGTGGACCCTCTAGGACTGTTACAGTCATATGGAGCTCTTACGATTATATCACATGTATATTTATGTACACCGAGCAGATCCTGCTCTACATATCAAACACATAACAACAACACAATCAGAAATAAGGAATAGTTGTCTGTATAAAACAAGAAATGAGATACAAATTAAATGCCAAATGTTCAAGGTGAGCCTGTCCACGGTGTGCACTACATAGAGGATGCTTGCATGACAATGCTCACATACACAAACACCTTGCATTAGAGTGTACAGATACTTCAACAGTACAGGTACACAGTAGTATTGGCTTGTCACTGCAAATCATGTACACAGCTCAAGCTATCAAACAGTAGCTTTACATTATTTAGACTCTGTTGTATCACCATATCGTAGCCTTGAACTCCCATTAGATGCATCCTTGCTGTTAAGTGCCAGCTTCTCTCCTTCAGTCAAGAAGGCATATCTTGAAAACACACTTTTGGACATGACTTGTCTGACTTTGAATTGTATCCCTGACCACTGGTCTGAAGAAATTCACAGATTTTGTCAGTATGCAAATATTTTCACATGTGATCCCTTGTATCACCACTTAATTTTTCCCTTTGGCAACTAAAGGGAAGGTTTCCGTAGGAACATCCTACATCACACACTGTGACCTCAATCTGTTTAACACTCCACCATACAAGTCCATAAACAAAATACATTCCAGTCACAAATATTATTTTGTTTCATCATAATCCGCCTGTTTGATTTGACACAATGCTTTGTCCTAGGAAAATGCCCACAAAGTATTGAAGTGGCTCCTGACAGCTCATGATAAATGGAAGGAGAGCTGTCCTTCTCTGGCAGCAACACTCAACCTGTCTCGCATGTTCTCCACTGTGGAGTAGTCCGGGAGCTTCAGGTAGTTGACACATGTCATCACAGATGGTAGGAAATTGTCCGGGCATTCATTGGACTCGAAGGATTTTCTCACTATGGTCAGAGGTGGGGAAAGACTTCGGAATCCTGCAACATATTATATGGTTTGAGTCATACTGTGTTGTGATGCTTCACTTGTGCTCCAGCTACCAATATTTCAAGAAAAGAAATAATCCTATTATAACAAATGGTTTCCACATGAGGTATTGCTTTGGTGAGATCAAGCATTTTCTCTTCTGAGATAATGCTGAAATGAAACTGCTTCACATACAACAGTCATTTTTTACTCATCATTGTGACATCATCAGATACTATGACATCATAAACAAATGACTTCACTAATATCTCTGCCACTGAGGCAGCACAACTTTACTTGTTCTTCACTCAAGACACTGGTTTCTTATATAAAAAAGTTAAAAGAATGATTTTGGATGATAAACGAAAAAAAACAACCCAAAACACAGTTAAAAACTTTATTAGATTTATATTGATATTTTCGAAAAAGACATTCAGGCAAAATTCTCTTTGCGCCAAAAACCAGGGTGTGAGGTACAGGAGGGAATACACCTTCAAGGTTTTGGCTGAAATTGTACAACCAGAGGGGGAGGGAACAGCATGAGCCCAAGGGCTCAAACAGAGGAAAGTGTTTCCTCTGACTTAAACAATATTTTTCAAGTGAGTTATGTTTGAGTCAAGTCTGTGGGTAAATCCTAACTGTAGTCATGTCCTGTGTGGACGACATTGGCTTAACCCTTGAGAACTGATATGATAGTGCCAGAGCACAGTGAGAATCTGGATTCAAACACCAAGCCATCCAGTGATGCGTTTTTGGCAAACTTTTCAGGAGACAAAATGACCTTCCTGAAATTCATCTGCAAATACCACTTCCATGATTCAAAAGCTAGTTGGAGTCATGTGGGATCATTATTATCGATCCTCTCTTAAAAATTATCAAGGAAGAATTTTGGTAAACCTAACATTGCATTATTGGGAATATTATTAACATCTAAAGCTTACTCTCGATCACAGACAGGACTGTGTATGGTCCTGCTGACAACACTTATGATCAAATGAGTCTGTTGTGTTGATCAGCTGTAACATTGTACTAGTCAGTGATGGAGTTGGATAGTACTCCACTTTAATCAGTTGTAAGACAGCATTTCAGCTTAATGGGGTGAAAACCAAACGTGATGTAGATTGAAAATATTAAACTGTTAAACCCAATAACACACAAATAGAGCTGATAAACCAAAAATAATCTGTGCAAGCAATTATCGGAATTTGAACTCATGATCGTCAGGTCCTGGTATTGTTAAAGGATGCAACTCTGCTCTGTAAATTGTGGCACCTAGACTGTTCCCTGGTTATCCTTTACAAGGAGAGCGTCTTATGCTACTAACCTCCTACAGGTAGTTTCGGTGAGCCTGTAACAAACTGAAGGAAGTCTCTCTGCTCGGGGGTGTAAGCACTGAGCACCTGGAAGAGGAACTTGACTGCCCGACTGTCATGTGTATAGCCGTGGTCAGGGCGGCAGCATTCCATCAGCATCTTCATGTCCCACAGCTCACTCCCGCTACCACAGAACAACTGCTCCAGCTGGAACAAGGATCACAACATGGGTGGGGGCTGGGTCAGAAAATTCTAAATGAGGCTGGAGCTATATCTTGTTCCCATACACTGCCAAATAATCTGGTCAAGATATATGTTTGTCATAGCAATATTACAGTTTCATGATAAAGGCCTGTGAAGGATTGAGTCTGGACCAGGCAATCCAGTGATAGATATGCATGATCCGTAGGTCGTGCAGTGGTTGTTGAGTTACCAGCAAATTCAAGAGTAGGGTAAATGTTATTTTATGCCTCAGTTACCAACATTTCAGCGCAGATGGTGTCCAGTAGGTCCAGGAGAGTCGGTCTGACAAAACAAACTATACTACCATGACCATCTAATACCATCATGGACGATATACACACAGCCGTATCTGATAACCACCCACAGACTCTTGGAAGGCCTTGTAAAAAGTTTGAAACTGAACCAGAGGTGAGGTGAGGTGGGGTGAGGTGAGGTGAAATTGGGTTTAACATCGAATTGGGATTAAAGTACTGTCGGAAATAGAAAAAACTGTTTTTCACATTTATATCTGCAATTTATGGAGTTAATACATGACAGTGTGAAATATCTGTTAAACTAAGTTCGGCCTAACTACAGTCTCAGTGGTAGGGAGATAGGAAACGTAGAAAAGGGACTTTACTGAGGAGAGATTAGTGCAGAAATGAGCAATGTGTTCTTTTCTAAGTCCATGTCGACTTATTTGGAACAGACCATGGCTTTATGCAAATTAGTGTGCGATGATATTGTATTACAAAGGACACTTTTTAAATGCCCATAAGGTAATTAAACTTAGCTTCATTATAAACGATAGCTGACATAAAAACTAATAACTTTAACACTGAAACTATTAAGGATGTAGCTGCCATGGAGTCTCACTATCACTATAATAAGAAACAGGTGGAAGGGGTCGTCTCAAAAGCAAAACCAGGGCGTGTGTTGCAGACGGTGGTTGAGGTCGGGCTGGGGGAATAGAGATATCAGCTAAGATAAAATAATCCTTCAGGCGAATTAAACTGGGAAAAACCCGGCATGTCATAACAATTTACAAATAATATCCAATCCTGTCGATCTTCTGGTAGTCATGCCACCTACATATTTTGAGACATTTCATACGATGGCTGATATAAACTTTTCTATGGGTATCTTATCACAACATAAAAAGACACGTAAGATGATAATCAATAGACGAAACATATTCAACCCACATAAAAAAGCATAAAATATCTTTGAGATGACCCCTTGTGCCTGTAGGCAGCACATGCATTTCATGCCAGGTGAGTCGACGGTCCGTCATCATACCTGGCTGAGCGACCTAATTGCCATCTATAGTCTGATCTATTGTTTTCAGCAGCTGTTCATATTTTTTCTAAGTTTTGCCCGATTTTACGAGTAAACATGCTTTTCTGGATATCCTATTACGCATCCCACTGATGTGGGTAATTTTGACATATGCTATTTGCAATTGTGTAAATTTTAGGGATACAGAGTGACAGCCTAAATACAGTTTTTTTCTATTTCCGACAGTACTTTAACACCAACTTACACCTGCTGTGCACAAAGTCAAGTGCCATAACTCTGTAAAGAATCATAACACGGTTTCCGATTCGAACTCCATCAAGGCTCTGAAAACACATACAACATTTGGTTTCCCTATCTATAACGGTTTCTGAGAAAATCTGTCCCATAATCTCGGATGGATGGAGCTGAAACCTATATCCCCACCCACTTTGTGGTGGGAGATAATAACGAGGCTAAGAACAAACCTGTAAGTAGTCCTCAAGATTGTCGAGTGTGACTGGCACATCCTTGCCCCCCTTTTTCAGCTCAATGTTTGTGTAGCCTGGTAGTGTGAAGGTGAGGTCCAGGTCCTCTATACTACACCCATCCAGGGTCAGACTGTCCAGGGCTAGTTGACGAGACTCTTCGGTCTGCATGCACAAAATCAAGGTGTTAGCCTTCAGAGAGGACATGTCCCAGCACTCATACAAATCATACTGACTCTAAACTAACCAGTCCTTGTTTTTGTACAACTTATTGGTATGACATGGATGGCTATCGAATACCCAACCTTCTGCTTTCCAGACAGACACTATGTCCAATGTCTTGTACAAACACAAAGTCACTCAGGAAGCATAGCTATGTGTTGCTCATATCCTGTAACTAAATAAATTGTGCTGAAACACAATAAGCATTGATTGGTAATAAACAAAAGGACAGCAAGGTGGTTGATTAGCACTGATTGGTGATAGTGACAGACATGTAAGCCAGCTGGGTGGATAGTTGCACAGATAACTAAACCATCAGGCAACAGAAGATCTGCGCTTAGTAAGAGACTGGAATTATGATGGTGGTTCTGCCCTAATAAACCAAGCTGTGGTGGTGAGTGGGTCCAGAGTATTTATCGAAGACATGGAGATGGTAATATACTGGATAATGAGGGATGCTCTACAGTGGAAGTCTCCATGTTCCCATAATGACATGACACTCCAGGGGCGGATACAGCTTTTTTAGAAAGGGGGGTGCACACTATTGAGAAAAGGAGGGATGCACACTTCATTTTTACTCGAGTATCAATGGTCATTTAACAAACTTTCAGGACAAAAGGGGGGGTGGTGGGGTGGGTGTGCATGTGTGCGCACCCCTGCATCCCCCTCTGGATCCGCCTATGCACTCACATGTGACTTGTCACTTAAAATTCTCTTCTTCTGGTGCACAATATCTTCAAGTTGGCGGAAAGATTTAGCAACAACTGGGTCTATGTGTTGCAGGTCAGCTGATGTCACGCTGTGTTCCTGCCCCAACAACCACTTGTAGAATACTGGACTCAGTGGAAGATCAACCTGGAAATACAAGCAAGTTGATACATGTAAGAAACCAAGTCAGGAAGGAATGTAAACTTGTGATTATTTATGTTGTACTGGGATTGTTTACTTGTTTGTTTGTTTATTTGAAGTTGCATTATAACCATGCGTCTTATGACAAACAACAATTAACTTTCGGTCAATACTGAAAAGGATGCTGCCTTGCTTAGCACTATGACATTATGTAGTGTAGTTTACGGGAATATTGCTTAATTATCACATCTGGGTCAAACAAACAATTAGCTGAAAACAACAGCAAGGATTCATGCCACTTGGCTAAGATGTTCTGTAATAAGTAAAGTCAGAACATGACAAACTCATGTTTTCTTTAATCAATGAGAAATTAGAAAGTACAAATAACCAATCAGTTTTGTAAGGTACAAATTGTTTCCTCTTACCATTCTTGAATCCATGAGAGCTTTGGCCAGGAATTTCCCTAGGAACTTGTACTTTGATTTGACTTTGTTGACAGATGCAGCTTTGGTGTTTCTGGCCAGAGGGGCCGGGAACAAGCCACAAGGTGAGTGCATGTAGGATATCTTGTTTTCTGGGTCTGGAATTGTGTTGTTAACAAACGGTTACAATGGTAAAGACATACATGTTCCTTAATATTTTCTAGTTTTCATAACCAATTTTAAATAGTGCTGTGGTGATGAAAACTGGAAAATGATAAAGGAATATTTGAATTTTCCTGTGTTCCTTTATTTGTTTCTCTACATATAAGAAGCTGAATGCTTTATATGAAAATTAAAATTGAAAATGTTAAGTGTAAATTGTTTTAGGAGAACATTTTTAAAACTTTGTTCCAGGTTGTTTCCACTCCATATCCGAAAGAACTAAGAAAGTGTACTGCGTGAGATAGGATAAGTGTAAATATGTAGGGAGTATGAGTAGGTGGATTTGGTTTAACACCCCTTTCAACACCACGCTGGTTACACATCACAGCATGTCAGCTTAGTGTGAGAGCCCCCAGCAATGCAGGCCCTAGCTATTTTCCAACATGGCTGAACTCATAACAGGTATGGCAATAACAAACCTATAAATAATATTAGGGCAGCTGTGATTCAAAGCTAATATCTTAATTTTCTGGCATGCCTAACTCTGCACAGTTAATTGGGATACCTGAAGAACAGGGCCACCCAGAAACTATATAGAAAGGTCTTACCTGACGGGTTCGCCGCCTTTACAGCTTCCCCCCCTCCACATGTCTAGGTCGGTCCTTTGGAAGTCCCGGGACACCAGAGCATAGAATTCTAATGTAGGGCCCAGGCCTGTACCCACCTGAGAACAAGAGGAGCGGAGCATTGGAAAACTGGACAATTCCTAAGACGAATGACAGGTATTGATATTCAAGTCATGTAGATAGCCAGAACTACTTACAAAGCTTCAGAATGACAAGAATACTGATGAGCATCCTTGATTATAAAACATGCTAAACTGACACTAATATGTCAAGAACTGCTAGTGAAGACACTGGAATTGGATTGGCATGTGTCAGAAAATAAACAAAAGACATCCATGCCTGAAACTTAATACTCAAGAAGACATGGTGTCATCAATATCCCCTGCCACAGTGTTCTGTTCCTGTTTAGTTAATGTGTTTTAACTCCACCACGAAATTCATGTCCTGTAAACACATACCACATTTGGTTTTCCTATCTATCATGGTTACTAACAAACATGCACTAAGTCAAGTAACACATACATCTGCAACAAATCATAACACTTTGTGGTGGGGGATAATAAGAGTGAGTGAGTGAGTTTAGTTTTAAGCCGCACTCAGCAATATTCCAGCTATATGGCGGCGGTCTGTAAATAATCGAGTCTGGACCAGACAATCCAGTGATCAACAGCATGAGCATCGATCTGCGCAATTGGGAACCGATGACATGTGTCAACCAAGTCAGTGAAACTGACCACCCGATCCCGTTAGTCGCCTCTTACGACAAGATAGTCGCCTTTTTATGGCAAGCACATGGGTTGCTGAAGACCTATTCTACCCGGATCTTCACGGGTCGGATAATAAGAAGTAAGGTATGGTGCACTACACTTGCTTCCTAGGACCATTAGATGCCTTGTACTTGTGTGTACCCTTGAAATGTATTTCTGAGGTCTCTGGACCCCTTTTTTGTACACCAAGTCATTCAAGAATCTATTACTTCTTACCTCATTCTCATAATGTATTTCCAATAGAGCTTTGGAGTTTCCTAGTTCCTCCATGACTTTTTCAGCCTGTTTGAGCAAGTCAACACGACTAACCATTCTCTGCAAATATACATCATTACATGACATAGGTGAGGTGAGGTGAATTTGGGTTTATCGTCGTGCTTGAGAATATTTCGCTCATATGACGACGTACAATGCGTGTGTATGTGTATGTGTATGTGCGGCTGCTTGTACTAGCCCAGACTGAAGCTGGTTTTATAGTGCTACCTCACTGAGATACCATGCCGCAGTGAAGCATGAATACCCTCCAAAGACACATTATACTGACTCCAAGCCGACCAGTCCGTGTTGTACCCAAGTACCATATTTTAACGTCTTTTAGTAGGACACGGTCAGGGATCGAACCCGCGACCTTCCTCTCTCCGGGCGGACGCTCTAACCACTACACGATGGAGGCGGTTCATTACATGACAAAAACAGCATACACTTTAAAGTGCAAAACACATATGTACCCATACTTTTTATGTAACTATAACAGTTTACCATTATTATCAGTTTTTAAACATAAGTGCACTAAAAAACAGAAAACATTCAGTAATTGTTTATTAAATAACAGAACTAGCAAACCTGTTTACCTTGTTTATACTACAATATAATAGCTACACAGCCTGATATACAACAATCAAGGTTTGGTCCAATAAACCAAGGCATAAAGGTTATTACATGTACCTCTAGAACTTTTAAGAATTTTCAAAGCTATTTTGGGCAAACACTTACTCTCCTGCGATCCAGGCGTGGTGCCACTCTCTCACTGTCATTCTGTATACTGTCACCAGAGTTGTCCTGCTGTAGACGCATCATGGCCCGATCTCGGTCAAATGATGTAGCGAAGAACAGCAGTTGTCGTGTATCAAAGGGGAACAAAAATGGCCTACAAAAGAAAAAGAAAGGACCTAAAGTTGTTTTAAAATATGTAATGCTTAAAAACCCCATAAAGAACATCATTCTTTTTTAAATCATCTTTTTATTTCAGAAACCCCTGTTACAATATTGGGGCTGCAGCCCAGGGAAGCAAAAACCCCACTGAAGTGAAAAGAGATTGAAGCAACAGGCTTCTGTTTTTTAGGTTTTTTTTGAAGTCATTAGACAAGCACATTGCATTCACTCACACATTCACACTGACAGAATAGGTAGCAAATAACCTGAAGTATATAGCATAAGAACATCATTCTTACCTTGCAGGAAACATACAGATTAACGTGAAACTGAGATGGTTGTTTGTTGATAATGAGAGAGTGAGTGAGTTTGGTTTTATGCTGCTTATAGCAACATTCCAGCAATATACACCGGGGGACACCAGAAATGGGCTTCACACATTGTAGCCATGTGAGGAATTGAACCCGGGCCTTCAGCGTGACGAGGGAACGCTTAACCACTAGGCTACCTCACCGCCCCCTGATAATGAAAGAGAGATGCAACTTACGCTGCAGTGCCTATTTCCCCCAGCCAGTTGGGGAGGTTGCCTGTCATAATAATGAGAGAGATGCAACTTACGCTGCAGTGCCTATTTCCCCCAGCCAGTTGGGGAGGTTGCCTGTCATAATAATGAGAGGATCCTGGAGCTGGCGGTTGGCCTTCGCTGTCAGTTTATTGCTGGTGAAGTCTGATGCTGGTAGCACCGGGGATGGGAAGAAGGACACCTGGAACAGACCACAAACTGCTGAACAACTGTCGGGGGAACACTGAACATGAATTGGTAATCTCAAAGGTTCTGGGAATTGATTGTACTTCTTGGTCCTTACTGTTTACAGTTTTCAGTAGGTGAATCTGGCTTAATACCATTTCAAACATTATTTCAGTTTGATGTACGGTAGGAAGAATGCCTGAAATGATGCAAGTCTGGGGTTCAAACCACTGTTATTCATTTCGAAGACTCCTCACAACAAAACATGCAGCGATAGCAACTAGGACACTTTTGCCCACAACATGACTCATAAATGTTGAGACAGCATGTCTAAAAATGCAATTTGTGCTATCTATTTACAGGTAGACCAAACTGTGTGGCAGAAAGACAAACTTGTTCCTGAAGTATTCTGATAAAGGTGAGAAAACAAACTCATTCTGTTACAAACTCAAACTCACAACACCATGTCCATCAAATGATATGTCATGCCTGGGTCACCGCTAACAGTCTTCAATAATACATGCATTGAGCTTACTTCAAAGAGAGTTGCCCAGAGCCTGTTGAGAGAATGCAACACCCGCAACAGAGCAATAACATCGAGAGACGGGTCCTGGACTGTGACAAACGCAGGCAGCTTGTCAGTGAGGAAGGCATTCAAGAGGGGAACTATCACAGAACAATGGCTATCTGAAAACAAAAACACATCATCCTGTTTTAAGCCAAATAAAACAAGAAGACAAAGTCATCAATATCCCCCGCAATGGCAAAATACTCTTCATGATTATGTCTACGAGTTAGGATTATGTCAAATATTTAGGTGTGTATATAGAAAAGTGGAAGGAGAGTATTGAAAGGTTTTGAAAGTTCTGCTCCAGAAAGGAGCACTATCACCAATTTCAGTCTAAGTCAAACTTGTTGCCATGGAAATGCCAAAAATATTTTATTCAGAATTCCAAAACAACCAAAAGGCACCAGTACACCACCATATCTATCTATGTGCCAAGTTTGGTGAAGAAATATTGAACGGTTTTAGAGTTCTGCTCCGGAAAAGACAAATTTGCACGTACCACCAATTTCGGCTAAGTGAAACTTGTTGCCATGGAAACGCCAAAAATATTTTATTCAGAATTCCAAAAGAACCAAAAGGCACTAGTACACCACCAGATCTATCTATGTGCCAAGTTTGGTGAAGAATTATTGAACGGTTTTAGAGTTCTGCTCCGGAAAAGAGCACTACCACCAATTTCAGTCAAAGTTGAACTTGTTGCCATGGAAACGCCAAAAATATTTTATTCAGAATTCCAAAACTACCAAAAGGCACCAGTACACCACCAGATCTATCTATGTGCCAAGTTTGGTGAAGAAATAGTGAACGGTTTTAGAGTTCTGCTCCGGAAAAGACAAATGTGTACGGACGGACGGACGCACGGATGGAGTCCATTTTAATACCCCCCGCAAAACGCGTTGCGGGGGATAAAAATTGTTGTGGTTACGACGACACCTCTTTAAAATTTAGGGTAGGTAGGTAGGATTTTTTATTTTTACATTTTTTTTCAATGTGTAATTGTTTATTCAATCAATCTTGCAGCCATCATGTCAACTTTTTCTATCAGAATGACCAATGTTCGTCTATGCCAGGAAAAAACAATGGTATCTGGACACTTATTTTATTCATACTGCTTAAAAAAAATAGGGTTGGCACAAGATTTCATGGGTTGGTCAAGTAATCAGAACCACAACATTGTTTTAGGCCTTATCACATGCAGCATCAACAATCTGTTCAGAAAACCACTGTAAACTGATGCTTCAGTAATTATGTATTTTTCTGTTGCTATTCAACTGAAGGATCCTTTACCTCTCATACTTTCTAATGCACTGTTTATAGTGCGAACACATAAGACGCTGGATTCATGGTTAACTTAAACATATGAACCAATGATTATTAAGTCTCTAGGATGATACAATATTTAGGATATTTGTATTTGAAATATTTTCGTCTGACTGCTCTGCTATGCTAGATTCAGAAGGTCTGCAAAGTTTGTGGCAATATTCCAGCATCCTTAGCTTTGTAGCAATTGAATCCATTATGGATATTATTATTACTGTTGTGACAACTCGCTTTTTAAAATAATTTCTGCCCAAAGATGACATACACCAGATGTACACTGACCTTTATGCAGATCATCGTGTTTCCTTCGGGCAGCTTTAGCACCTTTAGACTCAGCTTTTGTTTTCTTTGGACTAGTAGCGGTGACCTCTTCCTGTTCAGCAGCCTGTCGGTACCTGATGTGCACGGATGAAGAAGATGTCATTCCAGTAATTATTACACAGAAATCACACTTTTATTGTGAAAGTAGTAAATAATTAAAAATTGCTTTACTTTTTTAATTTGATACAAAGCAAGAGGCTTAAATGTTTTTAATTAATTTGTTGTTACGTGAGCATCTACATGTCAAACTATACAGCCTTTTCTCTTCAACAATCTCTACATAAACCTTTAAACATGTGGACACAAATTGTCCATGTAATCGGTTGATAAAACTAATGTAAGAACTAACACATCATGAAATTTGAGCTGCTTTTAAAGCAATCTTGGAACAGAATATTCACTTATCTTTGCAACAGGTGACTGAGAGCTCCAAATAACAAGAAGTGATTGAAATTAACCTTGAGTCCTTGAAGTTTGCTACACAGAATATGAATCAAAGGGACCCAAAACCCTTATGTTTTTAACATCAGATCCTAAGAAGTTCACCAAAAAGACTACAAACACTGTCAAAGTCAGAGACATTAATGCTATGCAAAACCCATGAGCATGGTACTAACAGATCAAGGACCATCATCAAGGACTGATTCAAACTCATAGCTAGGGGGTGTAGCAATCAAATAGATTTCAGTCTGCACAGGAACAAAAGTAGGTGACATAGACTGACTGACTCACTGAGTTTGGTCTTACGCCGCTTTTAGCAATATTCCAGCAACATCACGGAGGGGGACACCAGAAATGGGCTTCACACATTGTACCCATGTGGGAGGTGACATCGAAGTCTGAGTCACCTAAATGTTTTGTTACAACAGAGTCATACAGAACTAACCATATTGTGTGGGTCTGTACCCAGATACCAGCATGGCTGAGAGGGTTCTCCGAGTCTGTGTCAGTCTCACTCCCCTCCCCACTAAGGCTGAACTGTTTGATTGCCTGGTACACTGTCATGTTGTAGGGCAGGACACGGTCTCCAATCAGGAACTCCAGTCGGTGCCGTGCTGTACCCTGACTGATGAACACTGCCGCCTAGAGAGCAGGGACAACATTTGTAGTTACACAGTTTGACATGGGCAGAAAACCCAAAGTGATGCATGTCTTACTTATATAGCACTTTAGTGGATTTGAATCAATTTGGGGGTCAAACCATCGTCATACTTTTCTGAGATTCCTAAAGGATGCTATTCTGCACAAAAAAATGTGGCATTATTTGCATCTTGGATGCTCTTTTCCACTACTACACACTTTAAATGTAGAGAGAGTAAGTCATAAAAGGCATACAGATGTCTGTGGTCGTTGAAAGCAAGCTTAGAAGCAGTTCTCATCTGCTCATTACAAGACCAGAGAAAATCTTGAAGGAACTTTTGCCCTGTTAATTATGCTACACAAATCACAGTCAGGATTGTTAATTATGCTACACAAATCACAGTCAGGATTGTTAATTATGCTACACAAATCACAGTCAGGATTGAGCTATGCACTAAGTAACTTGATTTAACTCATGGCCTCCAAAACTATAACAGTCAGGGCAACCTTAGTCAGTCAAGAGTCTAGAACAAATCTGTTTGGTCTACTAAGATCTACCACGAACAGACCACACAACACAAACATGATGCTATGAGCCCTGTTTGGGCTAACAGACTTACAACTCAGACAGCAGATAGGGTTACGCTGGACAGTACGGCTTAATGACGCACTTATGAAGAGCTTACCATAGTGTCCTCTACATCATCATCTGAGTTCTCTTCATCACTTATCTCCTCTTCTCCATCCTGATGATACACAATAACATCAGTTTGAAATTAGTGTAACACTCATGTTAAGATATACACCAGAAACAAACCAACCAGGAAAGGAAAACAAGCATTTAATTATTATCCGCACAGAATCTAAAATAAAGTACACAATAAATTGAATAAAGTCCAACAGTTCAGGTACTACTTACTAAATTACATCTCATTTAAAGAAGGTAAAGTTATGATCAATGATGACAGTATAATGTTTTGCATTATTCTGCTTGTTCTTTGTGACTCCACTCATCAGTTTAAAAGCTGTAAAATGTCAGAGGGCACATAATCAAGTCAAGACCAGACATCAGTTATCCACATCATGAGTGAGTGAGTATGGTTTTACGCCGCTTTTAGCAATATTCCAGCAATATCATAACGGGGGACACCAGTGCTTCACACAATATACCCATGTGGGGAATATACCCAGCTCGGGACTTCGGCGTGACGAGTGAATGCTTTAACCACTAGGCTACCACACGGCCCCTATCCACATCATAAGGATCCATCTATGCAATTACAATATCTGGAGACTTAAAGGTCTGTGTTACTGTTATGCTCTCTTATAATCCCACCATGGGCCATATAAGTACATTGTGTGATACTCCATTGCTTACCTTGGTTCTCCCGTAGCCTCTCATGACAAGATACCTCTCTATTGCCTGCACAAGAGCTAGAGGATCGATTTTCACTGGACCACCCTTCCATTGCCGCAGAGATGAACAAGAGGGATGTCTTTGTAACTGGCACTGAAACAAACAAATCAGCTATTGAGTGAATGTAATTTTACAACAGTCAGTGATACTCAGCCTTCGACACAATAACCTATACAAAATTGCTGGGTAAGCTAATAATTCACATCAGCATGCAGAAACAGTCTGTCATGCATCGTCATCTAAAGTATTCTAAACAAACTAAAAGGGGGCACTGGGGACCAATTTGTCCCTGGAATTCCAACAGGTGAAACCATACAGGAGAATATATTTCATATAATAAACACAAGTAAAATGGATGTACACATGCTCCTGTGTGTATTATACTTTTGTGTTGATATTAAACCCTTTCCTTGGCGAAAGTCAATCTGATAAAGTGTTCAGAGATTTATCTTGGATCAAAAACTGGGTTTCATTTGGCAGGCAAATTTGAAGAAAAGTCATTTGTTCAAAATCAGATCCTTCTTAAATTCTTATCCTCTGACACTGACATGAAGTTCAGTTTTGCAAGATATCGTTCAAACAATATCGCTCATTTGTGCTGAACTGATTTCAGAATATTCTAAAATGGATTGCAATTGCAAACACAGTGGATCGACCTTGTACAATATTCCAGTGACAGACAATGAAAACATAGCACTTACTTTTAACTGATGTGTACTGAAGAACTTGAGTGCATTTGATCCCCGCCCACTTGAACTGTTGCCTCCTGGTAGATCATGCACTTTAACCTGGAACTGATGCCACAAATTGGGATAAGGTCTAACATTTCAACCGACTATGTGAATGATTTACTAAGTATTCCAGCTATCTCATAGATGTCTGTAATTGGATGAGGTTGGGCTAGTGGGTGATAGCATGATATGCAGTCCATGTTGTGATGGTGTTATGCAGAGCTCTGTTTCTGACACCTAATACAGTGAATGAGTGAGTGTGTGAGAGTCTATGTATGTATGTGAGTGAGTGAGTGTGAGAGAGAGAATGTGAGAGTGAATGAGTTTAGTTTAACGCCACTTTTAGCATTACAGCAATATCATGGCGGCGGACACTAGAAATGGGCTTCACACTTTGTAGCCATGTATAGAATCGAACCCGGTCTTTGGCGTGAAGAGCAAACACTTTAACCACTCGGCTACCCCACCGCCTCAGAGTGTGAATGAGAGTGAATGTGGATGGGTGGCCTTATGGCCATCAATAAAACTGACCGACCAGAAAACAATGGAGCCAACATAATGAAAAGACAGTGTACCTTTGCAAAATTAAGAAGTTTACACTCGATAACAACTCAAATGACAACACTGAAAAAATAATCTCACACAAACACACACTCTCACTCTTTTCTTTATTCCATGCAGGTTGTGACCGATTACTGAAGCACTGTCCTAAAATAGGTCAAATCAAGTTAATGAGAATCACTTGTGTTGTCTGACTGACTGAGTTTAGTTTTAGTTTTTAGCAATTTTTAGCAATATTCCAGCAATATCAATGGGGACACCAGAAATGGGCTTAACACATTGTGCCCATGTGGGGAATCGAACCCGGGCCTTCGGCATGACGAGCCAACGCTTTAACCACTAGGCTACCCCCCTACCTGTTCTAACTGATGAAGACACCCCATCATCTTGCTGACAAGTGGGTACAACTGTCCCTGCTGATCCTCTATTCTCTCCTTGATGTAGGTCACCTCGGGGAGCTGCAAACATCACAACATTCAAATTAAGCTGAGGCACTGCATAGAAACTCTTTCTGGAGTTAGACGGCAGACAGACATGAGTGGTCAAATCCAACTGGAATGCAGCTTATTTCAGGCCAGTGGTAATTTAAGTACAATGGTTAACATTGGGACAAGACTGATAACTCTAGTCTCAAATAAACTGACTAATGGCTGTGTTTATCCATGTTTACATGTCCAGCAGTGTATAAATAGGTAAAAAACAAACAAAATAAAACCTTCACAAAATAACCGTACATTAATTTCGATGTGGATGAGTTGAATGCATCTTTACATGGTCCAGAGTCACAATATCTCTGATGTATCTCAATAGAAAATAGAAATATTCTGAAATCTAAACAATGGTGTATGAAACTCAGTTAAATCCTTCGATCAAGTTTCATTAGCGTTCAACACCCATTTCCTATGACAGACAATAGAAATTTTCCTTTCCAAGACAAACTGAATCAGTTTGTACTATCTGCCAACGTACAGGGCATCCTAGGAAGACGTGAAGAAACAGCCTGATGCGGAGGTCCCGGGGGACGGAGCCTGACGTGGATGTGAGGTACATCAATAGCTTCTTTACAAGGCCACTATGGATGATCTCAAAAGGTGAGACATCACTCTCCTTCATAATACTGGAAATCTCCTTTAGTGCTGACAGGCTTTCATCATTCTGAAAACAAACAAACAAACAATCTTGAAGTCAATCAAGATACATTCTATACAAAATACATAAGATAGAGGAAATTACAACTTCGCCTTTCCAAGAACTGGGGGAAACAATTGTCAATCACATGATCACCTACAAATTTCCTTGAACAGATGGTGTCTTCTGACCTGACTGAGTAAGGTTTTACACTGCCTTTAACAATATATTAGCAATATCACAGAAATAGGCTACTCATATTGTACTAATGAGAGGAATTGAGTTCGTTCTTTGAGTTTAATAACTGGAAGCTTCATCCACGAGGCTGCTCACTGCCTTAAACCTGCGCTGGCGCTTCTGCTTCAAACAGTGATAACATACAGATAGAGTAACAAAGATCGAGATGAATTCCTTGTGATTGTACTATTGTGCTGCTGTTAGACAGCGGTCAGTGATAACAATACTTGACTCACATCTAGAGAGAGTTGTTCAGTGGCTGTGCACAACCTGTTGAGAACATTGAGGGCTGGGTGACTCCCACCAGGAGCTTCAGTTGAGAAATATTTCTCTAGGAATTTGGTAGCTGAAAACACACATAAAAACCCCATGTTTTATCTTAAAACATTCATTACTTATTAACGCCCTCTGACAAAAAGTCAACTCATTCATAAGCATTTAGAACTTGGAAGAGCATGAAGACACTGAACTTCTATGGATAACAACTTTGTTAAAGAGGACAATTTATGGATGTTAACTCCCTTATTTAAGGAACACCAAGTTTTGGAGTATATTCATATTCCGTCATCAGGTGAAATTTGCCATTTAAAGACTTGAAGCTGCTTTATTGTTTGCAGCATTTCAGATTTACTTCTTGCCCCTTCACCTGATACAGGTTATAACAAACAACAATGAAGATGTAATCTGTTAAAGTCGCCTGTCTTGTTTCCTGAAGAGGTAGAAAGAAGTGATGACAAAAGCTTCAGTTTGGTCAGTATTCTTGCTTACCCTGCTCTTTGATCCATGCTCTGACTTTCTCCCTGTTTGCTGATGATGTGTTGTAAGATATCTTCTGTACAGATGTGTCCTGTATAACAAGCAACATATTAGATGATCTTGAACATCATTTCCCTCTGCATTTAGTAATATTCCCTCAACATCTCCATGCTAGCAAATACATGGAATGAGGTTCACCCACTGCAATATTTGGAGAGTCCTTCAATTACATGAGGACATCCCAATACAGGTCACATCAGAACGACCTCTTGTCAACTTTGATCGACCAGTAACATGACTGACAAAAAGTCAACACCAGCTGATCAGTCAGAAAGAAGCCTTCTTGAGCTTGATGGACCTAGTGTAAAACTAGTGACTTTCAATTCAGACTACACGGCTGCGATTGTATAGCAGGCCTTGCTATAAATATGGAAAGTCTCTTCCATTTCCAATGTTTATCCCATTGAAGTTAGGTGATGAGTTTGATGAAATCGGTCATATTTCATGTTATTGATAACTGTCATTTGTAGTACGGTGTGACACCCTCTTTGAAGAGAGACATTATTAGGAAATATATTCCAACTGTCACTTTCCCGATCTGATTTGGATAAAAGGTTGTTCTGATGTCACCTATTATGGGATGTACACAGATCTGCTTGAAGCAGTAGTGAGCTGCAGTGAGTACTAAGATCTCATTCCAATGAGACTTAGATCAAATTAAACAAACCTTTGGTAGAGGTGGCCTATCAGAAGAACTGGAGGAACCACCAAGACGACCCCAACTCCTTGGATTCAAACTTGTCAAGAAAGTTGCCTTTGGACCAGAACTAGATTTACTGTCTTTGCCTACAACAACACCTTATCATGACTACTTGCACTCACGATTATAGTCACACTTGTCACAGAATGCTACGGTCATAAAAATGATATTTCAATGCAAATGTGGACACAGAATTCTCTGTTGCTATCTTATGTTTTCCTAGATGACATTAAGAAGACAACTCTTCTCAACTCAACATGTTTCTCAACTAAACCTTATGCATGTGTTTACATGTATGATCCCAGTGATGTGGAAAGGTTTGGTCTTTAATCAGAGGTAGTTGCCTTGGATGAAGCATTTGGGTTTCAAATTTGTAATCTTTCTAATACATTACTATTTCCTTTTACTGATGTCATAAGAACTCTACTCACTTGAAGATTTCCCCCGACTGGAAGTTCTACCGCTTAGGACCGGTCCACCACGAGCACCAGTTTCCATTACATCATCTGATTTGTTGCCTTTTCTGGTTGGACCTCGTTTTGGAGGTCGTTTCCTTTTGAGAACATCACTTAAACGCCTGAAACAGATTTATAATTTAGAGTGTTTCAGCTCTAAAAATGACCAATCATGTAAAGACTAGAGCCAAATATCAAGGTGATTAGTGATCATAACTTAAAAAGCACTTCAGGGCTCAAGTATAAAATCCTGATTGTACCTCTGCGACTATACTGGCAAACAAGGATAAGTTGAGCACCGACCTGACAATTGACCCATATTAGCATGTATGAGTGCTACCCACTGGCGCGCTTGCCATTGTTAGCGAAGGGGCCCCAGGTTGTCTGCGATCAAGTGTAGTGCGACTTGCTACACTGACGTGAGAGTCTTATGAGCAAGGCATGTGCAGCTACGCTAGGAATCAATTTCATAATCATGCAATGCACGTGCACTAGCCAACATCTGCTCTACCTTTCACAAACAAATGGGTTTGCTCATTGCCGTGCACCGCGTACTTCTCACAAACGCGTTCTCTGCGCTGGTCCAAATTATCCTTGTTTGCCAGTAGTATCTCTCATAGATTAGTTGTACTACAATTATTTTGTGAGGCTGGCATATGATCTTAATAGTTTTCTAAAAAAAAGCTGTATCACAGTCTGCAGCTTTAGTCACAAGTTTTAATTCCAAGTTCATCAAACTTTCCATGTCTCAAGCTCTTTTTGGCCGACTGTATCAGAGTGCTGTGCATGAGTTATAATTTATGACAAGCCACAGACAACAGCTACATACATCTGAGGGGACTCATCAGGCTGAGCTGTTGCTCCTGGTGAGATGGTGGTGATTTCTGTCTCCTTCTTCTCAATGGTGTCCCCGCCGATGCTCCCTGACCCTGAGCCCGAGGTACTGCCCCCGCTGCTGTTGCTGGAGAGGCTGTGAGAGGAGGAGGTGGAGATGGACTTGGAGGTGGTAGAGGGGGACTGCAGGTCCATCTCAGACAGAAACTTGATCTGGTGCATGACACCTGGAAGAACAGCAAAAAAACAACAACAGTTAAATGGTGGGTAGAGTTACAGGTCACTGTGTCAGTGTCACATCAGGGAATGTTACTATTGTATAGGAGAACTGATTAAAATGAAGCAGGGCAATTCATGGAAGGTAAGCACTCAGCAGTAAGTAATCAGTCCAAACTAGGAAAATTACTGAGTGAAATAGTCAACAACAGTTCATAAACATGAGGGCCGATGACCAGCATAGGTTGCTGGGGTCAAGTTCTAACCCAGAATTACCATCGGGAAGATTTTGATGCTGACAGAACAAGATTGAAAATGAAGGCAAACGTTAGATGCCCAGTGCATCATATAAATCAATGATAGCGACATGCTGCACAGCCTGACAAACTGGCAATTGTGCTAACAACTGATCACTGCATGACTAAAGCACAACTAAGGTACAGCAGACCACGTGGCTAGTTCAGCTCAAAACTTAAATACAGAATAATTAACAAGAAAAACCTATCCATCCATTTATCCATCCATTCATTCATGACAATCCATAGGTCATCATCAGTCTTGATTATTTTCAGTACTTTTGTAAACAAATGATGAAACATTGGAAAACTCACCTTCTCTTCTGAAATATATGCCAAAGATATCCTCCAGTTTCTTCATCAGTATATCTGCCATCTGTATCGCTCCTACGACGACCTTGAGATCTGGGGACGCCATCATTGCAGCTATGTGGCTGAAAACATCACACACACATTGAAACAATGGCTGTCAGACACCATTCATTGTGACCTCAGTGTCTCACAACATAGAAGACGAATTTTATTACTGTTATAGTCTTTGTAATTAAGAATTAATGTGTGTGGAGTCTTTGTTAGAGCCCTAGATTCAAATGGCAGGGATTTAGGATGTCCGTTGATTCAAATAACAAAGACCCAAGGACTTAATTTTGAGTGAGAGGGTGAATGAAGTTTTACACCAGAAACTTGACTTTCCGGACTTCATACATTGTACCCATGTGAGGATTTGAACTCGGGTCTTTATCATTATTTATTTATAATCAGCAGACATTGTTCTCATTGGAGTGAGTGAGTGAGCTGGATTCATGTCTTTATTTGGTGAAAAACATCAGCATGGGTGTGGTGTTGACAAATCTAGAAACACGATCAGGGGCAAACATGGATTTGAGCCCACAATCTTAACAGTGTGTGCTTTGCAGCAATGATTAACAAATTTCCAGATGGAACTAACACAGTATATGACTTAGACTGCAACAAACTGAGGCGCATTTTATGGGGATTGTCTCTTGTTTGTAATATGCTTGGCTGTTCCATAGTTTGGTTGCTCTTTGATTTTCATTGGAAGGTCTGAGTAATGGCTTGCAAAGATTACGCCATGATTTTGAACGTTGATCTATGCAGAACTTGCATTTGGAAGGGGCATTTTGGTTGGTTGTTCATTTCAAGCTGGTGAGCAAGGGAAAATCAGTGCTAAGGTACTGGTAAGAGTGATTCAGCTGGTAATGTCCTTTCCAAAAGTTAGAAATGGTGGTGAATAGGAGCAATGCTTATGAGGAATATATAGTGGGAACATACAAAATGTACATATGATCTGACCTTGACACTGGCTGGTTCCTCAACACTTCTTTGAGCAGGTCAGACGATGCGTAGTAGATCATTCGCAGCAGTGTCTGCAGACACTTGTGTCTCACAGTAGGGCCAGCCTGTCGTCAAGGCACACAAGTAAGTACCAATACATCTTCACATGTAATTAGTATTCTGTTGGACAGTGATAATACTTGCAAAACTGATTAGGACTTAAATAGGAGGTACTTACTGATGAGCTGTAGACCTCGTACAACACAGAGAAGAGTGTCTGAATGAAGGCTGTAGCCAGATCACTGTCCTCCTTCAAGATCTCAGCGCGGGAATCACATCTTTCTAAGTTGGGGTCCGATGACACAGATGTGGCTGGAAGATTAAAGGTATTTTGTAGTTGTATATAAGCAGAAATATAGAGCTAGAAGGGCTACCTTAATAATCAAAAAATAATGTCAGCCATGTCAAAAGTCACATAAGAATTCTTTGAACATCTTTTACAGACACCATTGCCTGGATCCCTCACACAAAGTATCAGAAAATCTTATTGGTACATGGCCATTGCACAATGTAAGTTTCAGTCAGGCGAGCTGAATTGCTTAAACAACATCACATTGATACTTCCACTAACCATGTTAAATAAGTGAGTGAGTTAGTTTAGATTTACACTGTTTTTAGCAATATTCCAGCAATATTATGGCAGGGGATAACGTAAATGAGCTTTACACATTGTATCCATGTAGGAAATCAAACCACCACCCTATGCTAAATGAAATTTTATTGCAATGACATATCACAATATTACACCATGGTTTGATTACAGCACATATGTTGTTTTCATCCATGTGCAGTGAACCTTACAAAACAACAGATGTGTCCACATACAGATGAATCACTAAATTTGGACATTCACATCTTTTACAATAATTGCATGACTGAAAGAAATTCTCATGAATGCTAAATGCTACTTCTGACAGTCTGTCATTACCTGATGAGCTCTGCTGTGATGCTGGGGCCAGGGGATTCAGTTTGCGTTGTACAGGACGTGCTGTACCAGTGTCTTCGTTGATTTGTTGCATTGAGTTAAAGTCAACTGCGTAGGACCGGCCCATTGTGGAAAGACTGACCTCATCTTCACCAGCTTGATATGCAGCCTGAAATATAAGTCAAAGTTCAGGAAGCAATCACCCCAGGGTCAATAAAGAAGAAGCAGAGGTAACAAGTGACATGGACATGGAGGTGAGGTGAAATTGGGTTTAACGTCGTACTTGAGAATATTTCGCTCATTTGACGACGTGCATGCGTGTGTATGTGTATGTGCGGCTGCTTGTACTAGCCCAGACTTAAGCTGGTTTTATAGTGCTACCTCACTGAGATACCATGCCGCAGTGAAGCATGAATACCCCACTCAGACACATTATACTGTCTCCGAGTCGACCAGTCCTTGTTTCCATTAATGCCGAGCGCCAGACAGGAACCAACACGTGCCATATTCGAACTAACCTGTAGAGGTTTCAGATTCTTTGAATCTCCTTGGGGTACTTATAAGCATTTAAATGTCCATTTAAATTCCCTACGACAGTTGTAACAATATTTGAATAAAATATTTACAAAACAAAAACTACGTTTTGTCTTGTGAGACCACCCTTACAGGGCCTTCCGGCCCCCTACAGCCAAGAGCAGGTAACTCTAGACCGTAACCTCGTACCTCACTTTCCATGCTGAGCGAAGTCAGACAGAATCTTGAGGGGAGGTGGTAGTACCCAAGGAGGAATATATTCAAAGAATCTGAAACCTCTACAGGTTGGTTCGATTCTTTTTATATATTCCTCCTTGGGGTACTTATAAGCATAAGACAGACTCCTAAAGATGGATCTCAGGAGCGGCATTCTGTCTGCTTAAACACCCCCGACAAAAGTGGAATTTCCCAAGCTAATTATAGCAGAAAAGGCACACTTACCGGTCACGCGTGTCCACCAAAGCCAATCAGGCGGGGGCATGAGCCAGGGTCAGGGTTAAACGTGTATGCAAATTTGTCCAGCGAAACCTGCAGCTAATGCAGCTTAACGAGACACACCTCCCTCCTTCCGTTATCTACTTTCGGAAGTGAAGATAAGGGCCATAATAAACCCAGAAGCGAAATGCGGAATATGAACAGCAAAGTTTCCAAGGGCAGTTTAGTCTAGAGCTTCTCGGTTAGAAAGCAAGAGACATGGGAATAAAAACCAGCACCACATAAAACCCATCACCAAGGGAAAATGTAACAAGATTTGTAAAACCCAACCCCAGTGTTAAAAATAGGCAGATAATGGTTCACACAATAAAAAACCTCGAAAGCTCAATCGGCTAGAGAGGTGGAACCATGCCCACTGGAGAGAAACTGACTGACCGAACCGAGCACGCTCACTGGAGAGTCTGTCAAGTTGGTAATGACGGATGAACGTGCTCGGACGGCTCCAAATAGCCAGCGAGCAGATCTCCTCAATGGGCAGGGCTGCAAGCGTAAGCTGTCGATGTAGCCACTGCCCTAACGAATGAGCTTTCAACCCAACAGGCGGGGATCCGCCCTGTTTGAGTATAACTCATATGTATGGCAGAGACAAGCCACCGAGAAATGGTCTGCTTGGTGGCGGAAGACCAGCCTGAACCCGCCATAACAACAAAACAATTGGTTACCCTTACGGGTACCCTTGTTAAGTTTGATATAAGCCTTAAGTGTCTTCACGGACATCTAAGGCGTGAGCAACGTCGTGAGAGGTACGGACAGGAAGGCTGAGTGAAAGCTGGGAGCTCAATAGGCGCCGTCACATGGAAGGGACTATCCTTCTTAGGGCGGTAAGTCTCCAGGCAGCCGAATGCTAACTCTGTCTTTGTGAAAAACAGTAAGCGGGATCGCCCGACATTGCATGAATATCGCCAACCCGCCTGCCAGAAGTCACCGCCACAAGCGCCGCCGTCTTCCGCGTCAACAGCTGGAGGGAAAGAGCCGACAGATTGTGAAACAGTGGACCGGACAGCCAATCAAGAACGATTGACAAGTCCCACGGGGACTAATCCGTCCGGACAACGGACGGATTCTGTCCCACGCCTGCTAAAAGCTGCTGTACAGAGGTGCTGCCCCAAAGAGAGCACCGTCAACAGGAATATGAAGCACGTAGAAATAGCCGTAGAATATCCTCGAACAGTGGAAGCCGCTAGACCGGCTTCCAAACGAACTGGAGGAATTCTAACACACAGACTAAATCTGTAGAAAGGGATCAAGAATCCTCCTGTTGACACACCAGCCAGCGAATAACAGGCCCATCTATCCTCATATTGAACGTTTGTCCGAATCCCTCCAGCGAAGCCAGAATTGTGTCTGCAACTGGTGCAGGAATTCGCTTTCGCATGGAGGCGATCCCTGATAGCTGACCAAGCCACCCACTGAATCCTGGGATTCGGTTGGGGCGCTCCGTTCTGGGATAGGAGGTCCGGTCGAAAAGGTAATAGAACAGGAGGCTGAGCCAGAAACCTGAGAATTACCGGAAACCAGCTTTGTCCCGACCAAAGGTGCCAGAAGCACAAGTAGCGAGCTGGTTGTGCGGTCAGCTCGCGACAGGACCCTGGAAATCAGTGGTATCGAGAACGCACAGTACCCTGTCCGTCAATCTAGCTGAACTACTTGCACTCAATGATTATAGTCCCACTTGTCACAGAATGCTGTCGGTCATAAAAATGATATTCAATGCAAATGTGGACACAGAATTCTCTGTTGCTATCTTATGTTTTCCTAGATGACAGTAAGAAGACAACTCTTCTCAACTCAACATCTTTCTCAACTAAACCTTATGCATGTGTTTACATGTATGATCCCAGTGATGTGGAAAGGTTAGGTCTTTAATCAGAGGTAATTCCCATGGATGAAGCATTTGGGTTTTCAAATTTGTAATCTTTCTAATACATTACTATTTCCTTTTACTGATGTCATAAGAACTCTACTCACTTGAAGATTTCCCCACGGCTGGAAGTTCTACTGCTTAGGACCCGGTCCACCACGAGGCACCAGTTTCATTACATCATCCCTGATTTGTTTGCCTTTTCTGGTTGGACCTATTTCGTTTTTGAATTCGCTTTCCTTTGAGAACATCACTTAACGCTTGAAACAGATTTATAATTTAGAGTGTTTCAGCTCTAAAATGACCAATCATGTAAAGACTAGAGCCAAATATCAAGGTGATTAGTGATCATAACTTAAAAAGCACTTCAGGGCTCAAGTATAAAATCCTGATTGTACCTCTGCGACTTATACTGGCAAACAAGGATAAGTTGAGCACCGACCTGACAATTGACCCATATTAGCATGTATGAGTGCTACCACTGGCTTGCCATTGTTAGCTTAAGGGGCCCCAGGTTGTCTCACGATCAAGTGTAGTGCGATGACTTGCTACACTGGCGTGAGAGTCTTATGAGCAGAGCAGCGCTGCAGCCTACGCTAGGAATCAATTTCATAATCATGCAATGCCGTGCACTAGCCAACATCTGCTCTACCTTTCACAAACAAATGGGTTTGCTCATTGCCGTTACACAAGCCGTACTTCTCACAAAACGCGTTTCTCGGCTGGTCCAAATTATCCTTGTTTGCCAGTAGTATCTCTCATAGATTAGTTGTACTACAATTATTTTGTGAGGCTGGCATATGATCTTAATAGTTTTCTAAAAAAGCTGTATCACAGTCTGCAGCTTTAGTCACAAGTTTTAATTCCAAGTTCATCAAACTTTCCATGTCTCAAGCTCTTTTTGGCCGACTGTATCAGAGTGCTGTGCATGAGTTATAATTTATGACAAGCCACAGACAACAGCTACATACATCTGAGGGGACTCATCAGGCTGAGCTGTTGCTCCTGGTGAGATGGTGGTGATTTCTGTCTCCTTCTTCTCAATGGTGTCCCCGCCGATGCTCCCTGACCCTGAGCCCGAGGTACTGCCCCCGCTGCTGTTGCTGGAGAGGCTGTGAGAGGAGGAGGTGGAGATGGACTTGGAGGTGGTAGAGGGGGACTGCAGGTCCATCTCAGACAGAAACTTGATCTGGTGCATGACACCTGGAAGAACAGCAAAAAAACAACAACAGTTAAATGGTGGGTAGAGTTACAGGTCACTGTGTCAGTGTCACATCAGGGAATGTTACTATTGTATAGGAGAACTGATTAAAATGAAGCAGGGCAATTCATGGAAGGTAAGCACTCAGCAGTAAGTAATCAGTCCAAACTAGGAAAATTACTGAGTGAAATAGTCAACAACAGTTCATAAACATGAGGGCCAATGACCAGCATAGGTTGCTGGGGTCAAGTTCTAACCCAGAATTACCATCGGAAGATTTTGATGCTGACAGAACAAGATTGAAAATGAAGGCAAAACGTTAGATGCCCAGTGCATCATATAAATCAATGATAGCGACATGCTGCATAGCCTGACAAACTGGCAATTGTGCTAACAACTGATCACTGCATGACTAAAGCACAACTAAGGTACAGCAGACCACTGGGCTAGTTCAGCTCAAAACTTAAATACAGAATAATTAACAAGAAAACCTATCCATCCATTTATCCATCCATTCATTCATGACAATCCATAGGTCATCATCAGTCTTGATTATTTTCAGTACTTTTTGTAAACAAATGATGAAACATTGGATAACTCACCTTCTCTTCTGAAATATATGCCAAAGATATCCTCCAGTTTCTTCATCAGTATATCTGCCATCTGTATCGCCTCCCTCGGACGACCTTGAGATCTGGTGATGCCATCATTGCAGCCATGTGGCTGAAAACATCACACACACACATTGAAACAATGGCTGTCAGACACCATTCATTGTGACCTCAGTGTCTCACAACATAGAGAGACGAATTTTATTACTGTTATAGTCTTTGTAATTAAGAATTAATGTGTGTGGAGTCTTTGTTAGAGCCCTAGATTCAAATGGCAGGGATTTAGGATGTCCGTTGATTCAAATAACAAAGACCCAAGGACTTAATTTTGAGTGAGAGGGTGAATGAAGTTTTACACCAGAAACTTGACTTTCCGGACTTCATACATTGTACCCATGTGAGGATTTGAACTCGGGTCTTTATCATTATTTATTTATAATCAGCAGACATTGTTCTCATTGGAGTGAGTGAGTGAGCTGGATTCATGTCTTTATTTGGTGAAAAACATCAGCATGGGTGTGGTGTTGACAAATCTAGAAACACGATCAGGGGCAAACATGGATTTGAGCCCACAATCTTAACAGTGTGTGCTTTGCAGCAATGATTAACAAATTTCCAGATGGAACTAACACAGTATATGACTTAGACTGCAACAAACTGAGGCGCATTTTATGGGGATTGTCTCTTGTTTGTAATATGCTTGGCTGTTCCATAGTTTGGTTGCTCTTTGATTTTCATTGGAAGGTCTGAGTAATGGCTTGCAAAGATTAAGCCATGATTTTGAACGTTGATCTATGCAGAACTTGCATTTGGAAGGGGCATTTTGGTTGGTTGTTCATTTCAAGCTGGTGAGCAAGGGAAAATCAGTGCTAAGGTACTGGTAAGAGTGATTCAGCTGGTAATGTCCTTTCCAAAAGTTAGAAATGGTGGTGAATAGGAGCAATGCTTATGACAGAATGAAGATATAACTGAACTTGGAATCATTGTCCGAGGAATATATAGTGGGAACATACAAAATGTACATATGATCTGACCTTGACACTGGCTGGTTCCTCAACACTTCTTTGAGCAGGTCAGACGATGCGTAGTAGATCATTCGCAGCAGTGTCTGCAGACACTTGTGTCTCACAGTAGGGCCAGCCTGTCGTCAAGGCACACAAGTAAGTACCAATACATCTTCACATGTAATTAGTATTCTGTTGGACAGTGATAATACTTGCAAAACTGATTAGGACTTAAATAGGAGGTACTTACTGATGAGCTGTAGACCTCGTACAACACAGAGAAGAGTGTCTGAATGAAGGCTGTAGCCAGATCACTGTCCTCCTTCAAGATCTCAGCGCGGGAATCACATCTTTCTAAGTTGGGGTCCGATGACACAGATGTGGCTGGAAGATTAAAGGTATGTTGTAGTTGTAAATAAGCAGAAAATTAGAGCTAGAAGGACTACCTGAATAATGAAAAAATAATGTCAGCCATGTCAAAAGTCACATAAGATTTCTTTGAACATCTTTTACAGACACCATTGCCTGGATCCCTTACACAAAGTATCAGAAAATCTTATTGGTACATGGCCATTGCACAATGTAAGTTTCAGTCAGGCGAGCTGAATTGCTTAAACAACATCACATTGCTACTTCCACTAACCATCTTAAATAAGTGAGTGAGTTAGTTTAGATTTACACTGTTTTTAGCAATATTCCAGCAACATTATGGCAGGGGACAACGTAAATGAGCTTTACACATTGTATCCATGCAGGAAATCGAACCACCGCCCTATGCTAAATGAAATTCTATTGCAATGATATATAGAGAATACTACACTCGGTCTCAATACATACGAATTATACGAAACGAGTGTCCTTCCTATGGTATCTGACTGAGCGAAAGCGAGGTCAGATAACATAGGAAGGTCACGAAGCCTTCGTGATAATTTGTATGCTTCATTCGGCTAACATCACTGGTGGAGAGTACCATCCAGGAGCGGATTCACCACCTCACTGACCAGTGAGGGAGAATGCGTAGCTGCGTGCCTCTGCGACCTGGTTAGTTGTAGAATGCGAACGCCTGAAAAAATAGTTACGTTAGATGTGACCTAATGAGGAGGTCCCCGAGCCGAAACTCCGATACCGACACTCAGGGGTCGGGTGCCGGGGGTAATAAATCACGGAACAGCCACCCGCGCAGGACTTCATTACCTGGCGATCTTATTCAGTTAGGCGGAACTTGCCGCGACCAGTGTCTTCGATTCCAGGCAAAGAGAGTGCACGGCACTCCCGCCTCCCGATTCCACCGTCCCCTTCCTCCTCCTCCATATCGACTCGGCAGAATCAATCACCCGCCATAATCTCAGACTCCTGAGAGAGCCGTCGAGGAGACGCCAGAGGCAGGACCAGAAAAGCTCATAAGGTCAAGAGGAGCCAGGGGAAAACATCAGCCTGCTCCGGGAGGAACCCATTAATGCCAGGTCAGCCGAGGCGCCGAGGAACCTGCCGCAACAGGCTTCCCGGGCAACCCCGTAATCACTAATCCAGTCAGACTGGACTTGGAAGGAGTAATAACATCTGTAACATAAACCAATTTGGCAATGCCCCACACGCATGGAAATGAACTTCCATTGTAAGGCAGTTTGCCTACCTAAATTAAAATACTGTCAATAGTGGAGTAGGGTAGTTTGCCTACAAACACCTTGCTGTCAGTAGTGGAGTAAGGTCCTTGTCTACCTCAACTAGACAGTGGAACAGGGTAGTTTGCCTACCTGAACTATCTTACTACCTTGTCAATAGTTGAGCTGGGTAGTTTGCCTACATCAACTATCTTGCTGTCAATAGTGGGGCAGGGTAGTTTACCTACCTCAACTAGATAGTGGGGCAGGGTAGTTTGCCTACCTCAACTATCTTGCTGTCAGTAGTAGGGCAGGGTAGTTTGCCTACCTCAACTATCTTGCTGTCAGTAATGGAGTAGGGTAGTTTACCTACCTCGACTATCTTGCTGTCAATTTTGGGGCAGGGTAGTTTGCCTACCTCAACTATCTTGCTGTCAGTAGTGGAGCTGGGTAGTGTGTCTACCTCAACTATCTTTCTGTCAATAGTGAAGTAGGGTAGTTTGCCTACCTCAACTATCTTGCTGTCAATAGTGTTGTATGGCCGCCACATTGCCCTGTCATCCTGCCATTGCCATATCACAGAATCTGTATTTACACACCTGCCTTTCCGTAACATCGAATCAATGGCAAAAATGCCATCATTTGGCAACTTCGGTAACAACTCTCTGAAAATACACAAATCATAGCATTTATGTCCAGGTGTAATACGCAACAGATGTAGAAACCAACTCAATTTACTTACTTGCCTTTAAGATGACGCAAAAAAGAAATGATTATTACGTGTAAATATTTACAGTCAGGTTACACTGTGCTTGGAGATGCAGCTCTGAATTATGTTGTCACTACAGCACGGCTATTACATTGAAGGGGTTAAGATTGAAATGTTTAAAACAGATAGATGTTGCACTCACCCTGTCAAACAAACTATCTCATATAATTCCTGGGGAGTTCGGGAAACAAGCTGAAATAAACACAATGAACAAAATTAAAGATACTTTACTACACAAAAACAGGATAACTCATAATTTAATCATAGTAAACTAATACGATTACTTCAAACATTAACCTATTTATCAAATGGATTTCCATTTTTCTTAATTACTGTGGACAGTGCAAACAGGACATTGTGTTAGCACAGGCTGTTTTCTGAATCTTTTGTATATGCCACTTGAATGTAATAACTAGGAAGCAATCTTTTTAATTAAGTTCTAGCAATATACAGAGGGTGAGTGAGCTGTGTTTAATGCCACTTTGAACAGCATTCCAGTTACTTCACTGTGTGTCACATTCATGTGAGAGAAAAGTATGAAGTGATGTCGTTTTCTGGCATTTACAAGTGGGTGAAACTCACAAAATTGATGACAAACTTAGAAACATAATTTGAGCCAACTGAGATTTGAACACTCGATTGTAGCTCTTTGCTGAAAAGATGCAAGGTTGTACCAGGTGATAAAAGAAGATCAGGTGACAGATTAATTAATGCCACACTCAGTAATATTATAGATAAATGGCTGCAGTCTGTAAACAATCACGGCGGGACCAGACAATCCAGTGATTGCCATCATGAGCATCTATCCATGAACTGGGATATGATGAAATGCATCAACCAAGTCAATGAGATTGACAACTTAATCTAGTCAGTCACTTGTAATGACAAGCATCTTTTGCTGAAGACTAATTCTTCAGGGGGCTGAAACATGAGACATCATCAATCACTGGGACAGAACAGGAGTGTAGTTAAGTTACTCAGGAACCAACCTTATTGCTCCTCAGTGAATGTGCACTGACCTCTATATTCTTCTCGGGTTGCTCAGAGGCTCCTATTAACAAGTAACAAAGGGTCTCTGCTATTTCTGCAAAGAGAAAACCAATTCCAGGATGAAGAGAAAACAATCTACATGCTCATCCATTTTCATGTAACTATTTCTCTTTCGATAAAAAGAATAAGGGTAACTAATTCAAAACAGCTAGGCTATGCCAAAGTTTGAAAATGTAGACCCTTATGTCCTAAGTCAAGTCAATGACTGTGTGTATCTCCCCATTATCTGACACAAGCACAGGTTAAACAAGAACTGTAAAGTGGGTTTTATATTATTTATAACACTAATCGAAAGTTGTAGCAAAAGACAAGATTAGATGTCAAATGTGAAGCATGAAAAGTGAATGCCTTTTTAAGCACAAAACTACCCCACCGACCCTGAAAGTATTATAACATAACACAATCTATAAACTACCTTGTAAAATGCAACAAAAACTACAGAGCTGAGGACGTTATGTTGTATGGACCTACTTTGTTTGAGCAGTACAACCGCCAGATCAGGACAGCTGGCACACATGACCCCCAACATCCGTATGACCATCACAAATGTGCCTGTGCTGATGACTGGGGGGCTCACCACCAGCTACAACACAAACACAGTACTCAGCTACATGCCCAATAAGTAGCAAAAGAAGTCAAAAGCTCTAAAGCAATCAATTCATGTAAGGTGCCATGACATGACAGTTTGTTATGGTCATCGTAAAAATCAGATTCTTTGGACTACTATAGTATGAACAGAAATTATTGAGAATTTTAGAAATATGTTTAATTGGATTTCTAGTATAAACCAGCTATCAAGTGCTTGGTTTCATTCAAGAGAGACAACTCCGTTAATCCTTTTTCATTAGTTTGTGAAGAGTGATCCCCCTTTGTTTACTTGCTGAAAGACGACATTTTCAGTGATCCTCAGTATGGATGATTTAGAGAAGAGGAAGTTGATTTTAGAGTATTATAACAAGGACATCAGATCAGCTAAAGTGATTTCAAGTAGAACAAGCATCCCTTTGTCCACTGTTTATCGTGTTTTGAAAAATATTGCAAATGGATATGGCATTGAGCACCAGGGAGGCCCAGGGAGGCGCAGAAAATTGACTGTCGGTGACAGGAGGCAGCTTGGTATTCTTGTTTCTAAACACAAACGAAGGAGTTTAGAAAACTTAAGGCTGGATATGATTGATAGAGGAACTGTTGCCGTCTGTAAGGAGACAATTAGAACTGAGCTGCGTGCAATGAGTTGGCAGAAAAGTCGAGGAATTCCATCTCCGATCATGAAACCTGAACAAAAGGAGCGAAGGTTGAACTGGTGCTTACAGCATAGAAATTTTAACTGGGACAATGTGATTTTCTCAGATGAAAGTTCTGTGTGGCTGTTTCCTAATACACTGAAATTCTGGACCAAACAAACTGAAAAACCTTCGTATCAGCGCCTAAAGTACAGTCCGAAATTTAACGTGTGAGGTGGCATATCTGTGTTAGGGGCAACGCCCCTCTGTGTATTTGAAGGGAATATGAACAGTGAGCAGTATACAGATATTCTCCAGGGACATTTACTTCCATCTGCTCACATGTTCTATGGACATTTTTGGATTTTCCAGCAGGACAACGACCCAAAACATCATGCAAAGCACTCACAGGACTGGTTTCAGATCCAAAATATGACATTATTAGATTGGCCAAGCTATAGCCCTGACCTAAATCCAATAGAAAATGTTTGGGGACTTATGAAGGAAAGTGTCAATAAGAAAAATCTGACAAATATTGCTGAAATGAAAGAAGAGGTGGTCCGATATTGACCCACGACTTTCTAACTTCTTTGATCAGTAGTATGCCCCGCCGCATTGATGCCTGCATTGCTGCCCATGGTGACTTGACAAAATACTAACTGTTCACCTGTCTTTGAATCTGGAGTTATGTTCTGCTAATACTCACATTTAATATGTGAGTAATGAGTGAAATTTTAAAAAAAAATTACAAATCTTAAATTCTCAATAATTTCTGGTTGTACTGTATATATGCATTATTTTGACCATAACTTTGTTAATAACACAATCATTTGTAATTAGATACTATGAACTGAACATTGAACAAAAGAAGAGCCAGAAGGTCAGTGACTGTATATTGTTTCATGGCATGGTCAGAAATAATCCAAATTTATCACAAAGGCCTGTAGATACTTGAGCCTGCATCATGAAAACAAGTGCCCAACAGTATGAGCATGAATAAACAAAATGATCTAAAGTAATAACATGTTCTAGAATCTTAGCGATCTATTCTGCCATGAAACCCTAAATTGGCCATAAGCACTTTAATGTCAATTGATCAAACATATCAAAATGTAGCTAGTCCCGACTGAGGATTTTCTACTGCTTTTTAGGAGTGATAACTGCAAAATACACATTATTCGGTTCATTAATTTTTATGAAAAACTTTAAAAAAACCCAACCCTTCTTCATTTATTATATTGTTTCATTCCCACACTTAATACTATTACAACTCTAGTGGCGGTCTGATAAAAACTGAGTCATGACCACATAACCTTGTGTTTGATTTTGTGAACAACTGAATGGTTAAAATGACCAACAACCAGCCAAGTCACCGAGTGACCACCCAGATTGCTGGGTTGCCACTTATAACCAGCACAGGTTGCATGTGACAGAATCTAACCCGTAATCCCAAAGGTGTTTTATCTGTAGTGGAGCCAGGAAAGCAGTTAATGTGCACTAACCAGCTGTTGTATGTTGGAGAGCAGGCCATGCACAGCTATCTCCTTCAACAATCTCTGGTCACTCTGGAAGTTGTCCACAAGTCGAGAGAAGCACAGACACACACTCTCCACTGATTTCTTGTCCTGAAACAAACATACAGTGTAGATGAGGAACCGAAAACATCAGATGACAATAATAGCCTTCCTGAGGCAGTAACATCCTTCCCAAGACTGCAAACCTTTCATCGACATGTATCTACATATATTGTTGTATTAAAATAAACTATGAAATAGCAAAAACTGAAACCAATTTCATAACTTAAAACGTCCCCAGTCAGTTGGTCTAACACATGGTATCTAACCATTGTGTCCAGATTTGAGACAAGTAGAGAGCTGACAGGGATTCTGCCAGCACCATCTGAAATACAATATGTATTACTTGTTTCTTAACTTAGGTTTCACCTTAAAGTAACAGTAGAGATTGGACTACCCAGTACATACCTGGTGGCTGAGTCGCCCACTCAGTAGAGGCAGTGAGTCCCTGACGTAGTGGAACTCTTCTGAGGATAAACTCTGGACACAGTTGGCAGTGACAGTCAAGGCACTGCGCTGAGCAGAGATACTGAAGAAGTCTATAAACATCAGACATGCGGCAATTCCTCCCTGGAAAACAGAAAGAAACGTTTGACGACTCATAATGATGACCATGCTGTCTAGACAGTGTCCATTATTTTTGTCTGGGGGTCCCTTAATCTTCAATTTAATGTTGGGTTATGACAAGGACCATTTAAGTACTTGAACAAATAACCATTTTGTGCCCATCAAGCATCTTGACATCCTTCAAGAAATATACCATAAAACAAGCAATTTGTTTGTTTAGTATAAAGAAAATAGAAAAGGGTGTAAATAAAGTGATTCAAGATTAGATTCTTGAGAGAACTTACAGCTTGCAGGATTGACTTGCTGTGTCTCCGAGACAGCATCTCTAGAGCTGTGAGAGCCTGTTCGGCTACATCCATACACTGAATGACTTGCAGCTGAAACACATCAATTCACCACGGTTCAAGTACTCATCATCATCATCATCATCATGGATCATCCTAAACACCCAGCACAATTTTTCTTCATACACCAAAACATGCACAACTTAATTACAGCAAGTCCTTTTTCCAAAAAAGTAAAGTGAAAAAACCCACTGATGTCAACTCATCCAATCTTGTCTTTCAAATCCTTTTCACCAGACCTCAAATAGTGACTATCATAAGCTCATAAAGCGACTAAATTTACTAAGACTTATGCCTCAGACTAGTTCCTATTTTCACTGGAATGAGATCTTTAACAATAATCGAAAATCAATAAATTTCATGGATTTGCATTTTCCTCAAAATTTTAGCAACAGAAAAGCAAATGAAATCAAGTTGTAATTGTCACCTTTTCCAAGAAGACAGGCACAGCATCCACAACAACTGCTGAAGACCGGGGCAGAGCCTCCATCATGTAGGTGAGAGCCCGACATGCATGGTTCATGATGTCAAAATTGTGTTCCATCTGCAGGAGTGTGATGAGGGCCGGCACCACCTGCTTCACTGGATAACCTGCCAGGCTGTCTTCATTCCCCATTACCAGCAACTGGATGGGAGAAAGGGAAAAGTTAGTCTGTCTCCCGGAACCTCATTATTTTCCCAACTGCCTAGCCCTCCCTGCAATGCTAAAGCCCCAAATGAAGTAAGTATAGGTTCAAGTCTTGGGAAAAGTGACATTAATGAGTGAGTTTGGTATTACAACACTTTCATAGCATTTCGGTCATAGCAGAGTACCAGCTTGATTTGGGAGGAGGCCTGAAGTTGTGTTTACCAAATTGGTGAAAGCCAGGATATGGGCATGGTGCTGACAAACCAAGAAATACAAGTGTTTGCCACTAATATGGCAATGTCTCCCGCTGCTAAAGAAGAATGAAATATTTATAACATATTTACTACTTTATATTTAGTCACATACAAGATGCCTGAAATGACTGGTGTCTGCATAATCACCCAATGTAGGTTGTCGATATAATTGAAGACATTGGGTGCAATGTTTTATGAGATAACGCATTTACGTAAGTTTGAAAAGTGGTAAAAGTGCCGTGGTGACCTGGAAGATAAGGTTAAGGTCACCAAAATCAACTGGTGTCTGTGTAATCCCCAAATGTAGGCTGTCACCAAATTTGAAGACATTGGATACAACAGTGCATGATATATCATGTTAACAAGAGTTTGAAAAGTGGTCAAAGTGTCAAGGCGACCTTGAAGATAAGGTTACGGTCACCCAAATCAACTGGTGTCTGGGTAATCCCCCCAATGTAGGCTGTCACCAAATTTGAAGACATTGGGTGCAATGTTTCATGAGATATCGTATTTACATAAGTTTAAAAAGTGGTCAAAGTGTTGTGGTGACCTTGAAGATAAGGTCAAGGTCACCCAAGTTTGGTGACAGCTTACATTGGGGGATTACAATGTAAGCTGTTACCAAATTTGAAGACATTGGGTACAACAGTTCATGAGATATCGCGTTAACTAGAATCGGGACATAGTACGTTGCGGCGGGTGACAATAATCAGGGCAAACCTGATTCGAAACCCAGCATCTCATGCATGCGAAAGAACTCTCATCCCTTACATAACAATAAAGGGGAGATGGGTAAGGGAATTCAGGATTGGATTCACTCTAGTTTGATTATTTCATCATGTTGTAAGGGTAGGAATCATATCACAGTGGTTTATCTTGAGCGTGTTGTCCAACAGACCATCAGTCATATCTCAGTTGGTCAGCGTAAAGTGGCAGGAAAGCGAAAACGGCTATGGCCACAATCTTGATATTTCCACACCCAAGGCCTGATTTGAGCATCTGGGACTAGTCAGACATTGTCATGAATAGTATTACTTAAGTCATCAAGTCCTTTTTAAAACCACCTTGATCAACAGTTTGTCATTATTGGTGGGAACATTTATTTATTCTTCATCCTGAAGAAAGATCATGGGTTTTGATACAACCATTATCTCCTACTGAGGGACTGAGGGATCACAGTAGATGAAATCAAGGACATAACTACATTTCTTAAGCCTCTAACACTGATAAGAACACCTTTTCTAGTTGACTTATTACAAGATTGCTTATGAAGGGAGAAGAGTTTCAAATGCAAATCTTGTATTGCCACAAATGCAATTTTCAATACAGTAGCCATAATGGCCGTATTGAAAATCAGATTCAAACCTCATCAACAAATTCAGGTATCATCATTACTGTCAAAAAACATGTCAAGTTTGAGCTTCATTGGTGCAGTGACTTGGGGTAGGTTTACAGGCAGCACCTGGCCATGACATCCTAGCCATGACATAGGCCCACATGACATCAGTGAGGGTAGCTGATGACACATAGGCTGATGGAATCTACTGACCTGACACATTTCCATGACAGCAGTGAGTTGCTGGCCCTCATCACCCGAGGCCTGGAGACCCTGAAGCAGCTGCTGGACCTTGCTCACTGCAGAACACAAGGCAACATCATCAGTCACATGTCACTCACAGTAATGATTAGAAGGAATGATTCAATGAAACTCATGGCGAGGCTGATGAATATTATACTGTACAACTAGCAGAAATGATTAAAATAACATCTACTAATATACCAGGAAAAGAAGCTGTGCATTTAAGCAAAGAGCTAAACTACAAGCGCATGTGAAAAACCGTTGATTCAAATAGATTACACGTGGATAATTGGTATTGTCTGTAAGAAGACATGAAAAGTATAGCTATCGTTACAAGGTGTATTGGTAATGTTTCCGCCAAGCAGAATCTTCTGCCCAGGTAAGACATGGACTTACTGGTTCCCCCACTCATGGTTCTGTGGAGTAGTTGATGCATACGTGGTCCTAGTGCCCCAAACAGGTGAGATGGCAGGCCCCGGGCTTCAAGCAGAGCTGAAACACGTGTAGAACAGAGCAAAGGTGCCCTCATAATACAGCACTACACCAACACTACACTCACTCTGTGGCTCTAGGGACTGGCAGGCTGGGAGGGATCACAGAGCAGATGGGCCCTTTAACACTGAACAAAACAACAACAGCCACTCTGTAGGTCCGACTTTCATGGCAGAAAAGAGAAGCTTACAAAGACAGGATCATCTCCTCTAGTTACAACCTCCTCATCCACACTACCGAATAACCTTTTTGGGTACAATTATAAGATGTGCTAATGCGAACAAGTGCTTTTCCTTGGATGGAGGTAACAGGGTGTGGGAAGGACAATACTTTCTCTTTCCTAGTGGGATACAACTATTTGCCTTATGGTGTCTCTCAATACTTAACAAAATATACATCTCTAAGAATTGCTTGCAAATTTGAGGCAACTCAAAAAAGCATAATACTATAGGTCAAACTGAGACAAGAGTCCAAAATTCTCAAAAAGTAATGTTTCTAATGAAGTCTTTGATAGGATGGAAGTAAATTGCTTGGACAGGAGAGTAGAAATGTTTACAATTTTCTCATCATTTTGTTACAGATGAATTATTCTCAGTAATCAGTAGTCCCAACTGTCCACAGAAAAGTAATCCATGAAATGTTTTAATGACAAATTTAGCCTACTTCTCACATGCAGAAACAAGGGGAAGGAATTTACTTCATGCAAAAATTTCAATGATTTTCCAGCCTATAAATGAACATCTTCATTCCACACATTCTTGTGCAAATGGCTGGCAATCAGTTCCTCACCTTCCACACTATCCATCCCATCTTAAACATAGTTACAGGAGGAATCTTTACTTTCCATACAACACCTTATCATCCACCTAGTTATTAGCCACAGGGATTCCTACACATAAAGTCCTCAACATTTTCGATAAACCATCTCAGCTCTCATCGCAGACTTGTAACAGTTGTAACCCTAACTTCCCTTTGTGTAACGAGGGTCAGGTGTATCTTTAGCAAGGAGGAGGCCGCTACTTATCCCAGATTTACATAACATCTCTGAATCCTGAACAATGCCCACATTAAGTAACACATCATGGTCAGACAGAAACCAGGCTTATTATCGTCTCACTTCACTTGAGTAAAACCACAATACACCTACAAGGCTGACCAGAAGATAGCTTCACACAAGTCCATAACAACATCTGAACAATTGGACTGTACAGAAACTTATTCTCATCGTTCATGATCGTCTCTCAGGGGTTGAAAATTCTCTCTGAAACACTCTGGTACCGGACCTCTAACCAAACAAACCTAAAGGTCCAAAATGGAACTTGTCTGGCCCCACTCATTGTTTCCTTAAGCCTCAGTTTGGTCCAAATCCAATAATTAAAATTCTGTGACCAATAGTACATCTCCAGACCTTACTGTCAACAAGTAATGAAACATACATTTGGACTCTTTTGATCATTTTCGTAAATGTTTAAAACGATAAAATTCAAGTATTAAACCATTTCTAATGGAAATTTTTGATGGGCTTAAAAAAATTCTGATTGGCCAGTTTCTGTGACAGTAACATGATAGAAAACATGAAAATCACCTCATTACTTCACTGTTGCATTTAATGATTTGTTAAATTCTGACACTTTATGACAGAGCAAATTTGACAGTAACACCAGTAAAGGAAATACTGGTACATCAGACCTTTTAATGCTTGAACCCATTAATATACATGTTGGTCCGGCACCTCAGACCTGTGAATGTTTAACCCCTGAATATCTGCAGATGTGCATCTGAACTTTGGTGGATAACTAGTCACTAATCTAAGTGCACACACAAAGGAGAGAGTTAATGAATCATTATAGTTTGCAAAAGAACAAAGGAAACAAGCAAATAACCCACATCTGTCATAGGCAAAAGAAGACAGTCTCTACTAAATGAAATGATGAGAGAGGTGAATATGAAATCATTAATTACAATAGGCAAACAATTAAAAGAGACAGGCAAACGAATGTGAGCAGCAACTTGTTACTGTGTTGCCCATGCTAGGAATTACAAGTGGTTGTAAACTAGACTGACCTTGAAGCCGACCCATGTCCGTGTCATCTGACTCGCTCTCCGATGTCATGTTGGTCGGTCCACCGGACCCCGGTGCTGAAACAACAAACAATGTATTACGATTGTATCAGAACTTCAAGTTTGTCTTCTGCTTCTAGGAAGGGAAAGCAAATCTTGTCTTGGCCAAAAGGCCACTATTCTGAGACAAGTGACATGTGGAAGGGTGATTATTTTTTATTTAATTCTGGATAATATATCTTACTCAAAATGCCCAATATTTTTATATGACTACAATGAGTCTAGCATAGTTGGTGAGTATTGCTGCACACAACCTTCCAATTGTGTCCTTAACATGTTTTGAGTAGTATAAATAATTCGCTGTGTAAAAATAAACTTTTTCACTTATTCACAAAGGAATTACATACTCGTTCTACACTCTCATGTCAAGTAAAAAATTGGAACTTATTGGAGTGAGGGAGGGAGTGTAGTTTTACGCCGCACTCAGCAATATTCCAGCTATATGACGGTTAGCTCCCAAAAGATAGACCTCCCAAAATACAGACGTCCCATAAGACAGACTCAATGGGTACCGTACTAATTAGCTGAGCCATGTTGTCCACCCCTATTTATTTAATGAGCTGACCCAGAGTCACTTCTCAAAACATATTACTAATCCATTTACTGACCCATTGCCATTTACTGACCCATATGAATATAATAGAAAACGTGCATTTAAAATTCCTGAAACTAGCCTGTGGGCTTCGACAATCAACCCCAAAGTTTATAGTTTATGGGGAATTAGGTAGGATACGCTTATAGATTTATGCAGCCAAACAGGTAGTTAGCTTCTGGCATAAACTCTGTAAACCCGGACCTTTAGCAAAATTATCGTAAATTATCAGTCTGCTTATTTGCAATCTGCATCTATTAATGAACTCAATATCTGGACAAGTAATGTAGAACAAACACTTTCTCTGTGGCCTGTCCTATGTATTTCATGACCCACTAAGTAGTAGAGAACTGAGTTGTTAGAGAAGTTAAGAATGTTCTCAAGCACTTTACTGTGTATCTTTGTTATTATATATACAGTCATCCCTCGCAATAACGCTCTTCGCGATACTGCGGATTCGGTTAAACCGCAGGGTAATCCGTGGCTCCCATAAAAAAAGTTGCCCAGTGATCACACATATTCACGTCATCGAAAATAGCACATCAACAAATCCGCTGTTGAGCTCTGGTTAATCACGTTGTAAACTAGTGATTCAGTGCGGATTGCAATTAACAGTGTTTATCGTACATATCCATGGTTTTTCACATGCTTAAAACATGCAGATTTTTTTTCAATAATAATAGATGAACAGCGAAACATCATAATAACTTTATCATAAAGACATGCCATCAGCCGAGTACTTTCAACGTTTGCTGTGATGCAACATACCGCGTAATTGTGTGGGTAAACACCGCCATCCGAAAATGTATGATGTCAGAAAACACACTTTATGTGATTAAATTCAATCCCATTTTTATTCATTAAAACTGTTTACAAGAACAACGGAGAAACCGTGAGTAAGATGGCATTTCCTTATTCCATACAACGTCCGACTTACCACATTCGTGAGGGTCCGTTTTTCACGCCTACCACGATAGCACCAAAATCACATTTTTCTCAGCAATCACAAACAGATTACAGCCTTGTCATCCATTGACCACAAGACCCGTGTTATTGACTCATTGAAGTCATGTTTGACAATTAATTGCCAACATTTTGTTTTTTTTTACAATCAAAGTGGCACGTACCGCGGGAAGTCAGCGGTGACTTGTCAAACTGTCTCCTACGTAAAATGTATCCAGCCAGGTAACCCAAAGTGCTCAGCAATGCTAATTATTATGCTAAATATGTTCGTAGAAAACATTCATTATACTTATACTATAGCAATATAAGATCTCTGTTAGAATAACTGCTGGACATATAAATTATTCTGGTAATGGAATAGAAATTCTTTGATGTTATATTTTCGGATCGTTTTTAACTGAATCACCGGTACATTGGACCAAACATAGATCTGTGCCCAGCTGATTGCTATTTCCGGCTGAGTTGAATAACAGGTAGCATAACAGGAACAACAATTGAATTATCATGTCTTGTGGTGTTTGATTGCAAGTTTCATGTACATACATCTATTTTCACTTACAAAGTTTTTGGGATTTTTTCACCTCCAACAATACAATATAGTTTTGCCTGGGCACAATACACGAATACGATTTTACTTGGCCTTTGTACCGCGTTATGTAATCGTTACTAAAACGCAGGTTTCTTATAACGCGGGGGTCATCCATGGACCCCAAGACCCTGTATGGCGAGGGATGACTGTATATGTATGCATGGTTACAAAATTGTCTTATTTTGATCAGGGATTTCATCAGGGACACTGTGACTTTCTAATAAGTGACGTAAAATAATATGGTACTTGGTCTCATATGTTTGATAGGTACATGTATGTAAGTTATTGTTTTTGATAATATTCACAAGTAAATGCGATCTGGCAAAAATATGTTGATGTACATACATACATACATACATACATACATACATACATACATACATACATACATACATACATACATACATACATACATACATACATACATACATACATACATACATACATACATACATACATACATACATACATACATACACATACACATACACATATATATATGTTGATGCAATATGTCTTAATTTAAAAATCATAATTCATTACATGAATTGATAAACTATAGTTAATACCTAATTCTGTCTTTTTTATCTGGGCACATACCATTATTATGAAGAGTACAGCTTAATTAAGCCTTATGCAACCAACCATAAAATGTGTTGTTTTAAGCGGTCTGTCTTTTAGGACGTCTGTCTTATGGGAAGATACCTATATGACGGCGGTCTGTAAATAATCGAATCTGGACCAGACAATCCAGTGCTCAAAAGCATGAGCATCGATCTGCGCAATTAGGAACCGATGACATGTGTCAACCAAAGTCAGCGAGCCTGACCACCTGATGCCGTTAGTCGCCTCTTACGACAAGAATAGTCGCCTTTTGTGGCAAGCATGGGTTGCTGTAGACCTATTCTACCCCGGATCTTCACGGGTCTTCGGAACTTATGGACTGTCATGGAATAATATTGTTTGGGTAGGCATGGTTGGATATAGGTGTATACTAATCACTCACAGGTTGGACAGGGGGTGTTTATTCTAGGTGCTTTTAATACAGCAAATATGTTAAATGTATTCAAGCTGTCATTTCAATGGACTGATGGATCATCGTGGACCTGGATGTGCATCATGTTGCCTTGTCTACAACCAGGTGAGTTATATTTATCACCTACTGACACTGTGGCCAAACCCATAAACAGTCTAATGTATTCAAGACAATTTCATAAATTTTCCTTGCCACTTAGGTCATGGGATGGGATGGGATGGGATGGGATGGGATGGGATGGGATGGGATGGGATGGGATGGGATGGGATGGGATGGGATGGGATGGATGGGATGGGATGGGATGGGATGGGGGATGGGATGGGATGGATGATGGGATGGAATGATGGGATGGGATGGGTTGGGATGGGATGGAAGGGAAGGATGGGATGGGAAGGGATGGGATGGGATGGGATGGGATGGGATGGGATGGGATGGAAGGAAGGAAAGGGAAGGAATGGGATGGAAGGGATGGGAAGGGAAGGGGAGGGATGGAAGGATGGGATGGAAGGGATGGGATGGGATGGGATGGAAGGATGGGATGGGATGGGATGGGATGGAAGGGAAGGGAAGGGAAGGGAAGGGGGAAGGGAAGGGAAGGGAAGGGAAGGGAAGGTTAGAGAAGGGAAGGGAAGGGAAGGGAAGGTTAGGGAGGGATGGGATGGGATGGGATGGGATGGGATGGGTGGATGGATAAATGAATGAAATGTAACAAAATGTAACAGCTTAGACAGCTACTGATAATTAGTAAAGAATTATGTGAGTACTACACAAACCACTATATTCAACTTAGGTGAAATTTGGAAACACTTCAAACCTATCCCATATGCCATTCCTTAGGAGGTATGTATGAAAAGAATTTGGAAATGAGGTCAGATGCTTGTAAACAACTTCTCACCAACAGGATCTTTTATCAGTAAATATCAAAATCAATTCAAGCGTTATTTTGGGATAGTTCTGGTTTTACATGTTTTTTTATGATAAACATATGATTGGTTGTTGTTTAACACCACACTCAGCAATTCCAGCTATATCATATATGGTAGTTAAGTAAAAAAAATGATAAACATACCAGAGCTACAGGTAACTTTTTGGGTCATTGAGTTATGTACCCGCTTGTCTTCATCTCAATTGGGTATCCTAATTTTCCTCTGAGTAACCAAACAAATTGTACTCACCTCACTCAAAATCAATTGGGTATTTTGCCTTTTTCCATTAATTGTTAAAATATAATAAAGTTTAAATGTTAATGTTTGTTATTTATATTTGATCTGTAATATGAGAAACGATATGAAAGACTGCTAGTTGAGTGTTCATGTGCCGAAATAGAACCTCTCAATATACCTCAGTTGCTTTATCTATCCACTGGTACGCAAGCTAAGATTTGACAGTTTTCTGTGTACGCATGTACAATCAAATTTATTGAGTATTTACAAAAATACAAGCGTACTTGTACACAACAGACGTAATAGGAAATGAGTTTTCACATAAATATTTGTGTAATTTACGCAGATACGCAGCTTATCTGTACCTCTGCATACGAAACACAAAAAGATGGATGTCAAATTCATACTAACCATGAACTGTGTCAAAAATGCTTTTAAAATATGCCAATCTTCATGTACTACTGGCAAGTATACCACAAAATAGAGTTAAGAATTGCAAGACTTTTATGTTAAGAATCTAACCATGTAAGTATTATTCTTATCATTATTATCATACAGGTTTTAAGAACAGCTGATTCTAATAGAAACATCAATAGGTAACTGATAAGACAAGAGAGGTTAAAAAATGGGAGGTAAACAGCTCTGTTTCATAAGGGAACACATATTTCCTCATTT